TGACTGGTGGTAGGACGTCTTGTGAGTCTGCACGGGTAGGTACCACCCTGCCTATTTTTGCCGTGAAGCAGAAATGCGTTCCAGTTTGAAGAGTGGGACAGCCGTTGTACTGTAAAAACGGATACCTTATAATTCTTATCTCAAGATGTCCGGTAACCATTTAACACCAGGTGGGCCGTGAGCTCGTCCACCAATCTAAGTAATAACAAAACAGGTTAAAATATGAAAATGTTACCTATCCAACTTCAGATCCTTATCAAACTTCCCTGGGCTCAAAATTTACTTTACCACCAGTGAACATGGATTAGTAGTCGCAGTTTGGTGGCATAACAGTCAGATATTGTTGCTGTCCGCTGTCAGATGGGGTCCTTAAATTCCTTTTTGTACAGTATATCTCTTAGTGCTATTCTGTCTGATAATACTCAACCAATATTTGTCTAGCCTAATTTTGAGACAAACTGGAAAATTGTGTCATTTATTTTTAAAATAGTTACCCGGGTATGATAATCTATAATTGAATTATCTTGTTTCAAAATAACGATTGTTGATGACGCTCTGTGACGGAAGATAAATTAAGCCAACGCTTGTAAATTGCACAGCAGTGATCTTTTAGAAGAGAACCTTGAAGTGTGTCGCTTCAGGTGACGTCGAGTGTGAACACAAGTGTCTTCGAAGTTTCCCGGTGTTTTAATTGAAAATATTCGTTTAAATTGCTATTGACTTGCGCTACTGATTCGTTTTGGTGTTGGTTTATATCTGTTGTGCCGTGAGTGTAAATATATTGTGTTTGTTCTATTATTAAAAGGTAAGAATCATGGATGACCCGCACGATCCCGGGGGAGGTTATAAAGGACCACGTGCGCCCCACTCGCAAAACTTTTCTTCTCAGATGGATATTGATCCACCCAATTCCAGAAAACGATCACCACAGTCTGAGGAAAACATTCCCCCTAAAAAATAGATTACCAATCTTTCACAAACTTCGCCGTCGATTCAGTCTACGTACACACATCCCGATTTTGTTGAACGTAAGACCCGATACTCTGAAGATGACATTGCCCCTTTTCTAGTCCACGTTAGTAAGATGGTAACAGATGTGTCTGCTGGTCCTACCTTCAAACCCATCAAATTCGGACAGTTTCTATTTAGAAACAGCATAAAAAATGTAATCCAGGATGGTGTGAAACGGATGGCCGCAACAGGGTTTCAGTGGAATTTAAATCCGTTGCTGCGGCTAATGCTTTTCTAGAACACTCAGCACTTCAGCCGGCTAAATTTGAAGCGAACATCCCATCTTATAATGTTACACGAATGGGAATTGTGCGTGATGTTCCAGTAGAATGGAATTTAGAAGAGCTGGTCCAATCGGTAGAAGTTCGTGCTGGCTGCGGTGCAGTCATTAAAGCACGCCGCTTGAATAGGAAGAAGATAGAAAATAATGTCCCTACCTGGATACCTACCCAATCTGTAGTTTTAATCTTCTCTGGTCAAAAACTTCCAAATCGTATTTTCTGTTTTTTTAATTATCTCCCAGTTGAAGTTTATGTCCTCCCCATTATCCAGTGCAAACTAATATTTCTAAACATATTAAATAATATTTATTCTTTAGGAATCCCTCCAGATGAATGGTAAACTCAAATAATCGTCCCTATCCTCAAGCCAGCAAAACCTAATAACGAGTCAAGTAGCTACCGTCCCATCGCCCTATCATGTACCATGAGCAAAATTTTAGAACACCTTGTTAAAAATAGATTGGAGTGGTTTGTGGAGAGTAGATGCATCCTCCCTGCAAGTCGATTTGGCTTTAGGAAGGGATTAAGTACTATGGATAGCGTAGGTTGCCTTGCAGCGAATATACGCATTGCTCTCTCTAAAGGAGAGTCCTTGGTTGGGGTTTTTCTTGACATTGCATCCGCATACGATAATGTCCTTCTTCCTGTACTCAGGCAAAAAATGCTTCAGCTGTGTATCCCAGAGAAGATGGTTAACTTCATATCTAATCTATTCTTATCTAGAGCCATTTTAATTTCTTCCCAAAATTCTTTACTTCCTCCTAGACTTCTATGGAAGGGCCTCCCTCAGGGATCAGTTTTAAGCCCACTACTATACAACTTGTATACCCACGACCTAGAACTTTCGGTAAATTCATTCTGCAACGTAGGTACTACAATATGCGGATGATTTGGCTCTATACGTCTCAGCCAGGGACTTAGGGGATGCCTCTGCTCGCTTCAACTCCGCTATTAACTATCTCCATGACTGGTTAGGTAATCATGGTCTATCCCTTTCAGTTGTGAAGAGTAGTGTAGTGACATTTTCTCGCATGCGATATATTCTCGACGTCATGTCTCATTTGATGGCAAAATATTCCCAGTGCGAAACTCAGTAAAATTTCTCGAAGTCGTTCTTGACTCGCGTATGACTGGTGTCCAACACATTAACCACATCATCAAATTTTGTTAGGTTTATCAGACTCTCCTGTCCCGTCTATCAATGTAGGTTATATCCTTTATTCCTCACACCTTATAATGCAATTCTATACCGCCCGGACATTGTTCTAAATATCGGAATAAACAAAGATGACCACGGTGCAAACGCTAAATTTAATTCTGTCGTCAGTAGTAAATGGAATCGTTGGCATAATATGTTCACTGACGCATCAAAAATAAAAGCTGACGGCTGTGTAGGCTTCGCTGTCTGGATACCGGAGTACAAAATCATTTTAATCTTTAAGTGTCCCCTTCAAGCCTCGCTTTTTACAGAGGCGCTAGCTATCCTTGAAGCCCTGATGTATATAGAATCACATAAGCTACACAACACGGTGATATTCACTGATTCTAGAAGCTGCCTACAGGCTATCCTTGCAAACCAACTCAGATCCAAGTCAAAATTCCCTTTTGTTCTGAAAATCAAAGAAATTCTTTTTCGGTGTCACGTGTCTGGCATAAAAATCACCCTAACTTGGATCCCGGGACATAGCGGTATAGTAGGTAATGAGGGTGCTGATCAGTGTGCTAAGGATGCCACAATAAGTAGTGATACTCATTACACAACCTATGCACAAGATCTAACGTCTCTAGCCGAGGCCGATCTCATATCGTGCTGGAATGAAGCGTGGAACCTTTCGAAACGCATTAGAGGTAAACATTACGCGGATGTTCAAGACTCGTTGCTCGTTCGGCCTTGGTTTTTTAAATATAGGAAAGCCAACAAGAGAGTCACGTCCACAATATGTAGGTTAAGACTAGGTCATGCTTGTGCCCCGGTTCCAATGGCGGATCCAGGGGGGGGGTCATGGGGGTCATGACCACCCCCTGAGCTGGTTCCAGGATTTAGGTGGACCACTAATTGAATATAATGATTTTATTTATATATTTTGTCACCATACAGATTTTATGTAACTACATACCTTCAATATTTAATTAATTTAATATAATATAATAACTTTGTATAATGGCAAACGTCTGGGAACGAACGCATCTAAATTTGACTATATGACCCCCTTCTGGCGCCAAAGCTGGATCCGCCCTTGCCCGGTTCGCCTAGCTAAAATAAGGGTCAAGGATAGTTCCCTCTGTGAATGTGGGCTCGACGAGGGATCAGCAGAACACATTTTCTTTAACTGCCCTAGAAGACCTTCCCTTTACGAAGTGCTACCGGACACTATCCCCAGACCGACAAATTTCAAATCTTTGTTGAGCCTTGTACATACACCCTATCTAAATATTTTATGCGAATATGTTCACCAGAATAACATTAGACTATAAGTTGTTTGTCCTTACTAACCTTCTAACAATCATTTTTGTTATATATGTATGAGGCCTATAAAATCAAAGGCAGCTAAATCCAAGTCTGTCAAATATTCAGGTAAACTAAAAAAATTGGCCCTAAACACGTCATTACGGATCCTCCCGATCCATCGAAGTACTGCTCTTGCTAGGGCCAGTGTTAGCAACACTCCCGGTTTGAGAAGCTGAAATAACTTTGTTCGGATAGCTACGATATTCTTTATTTTACAGCACATTTATAAAGAATGAGATGAATTATTACTAATAATCTGAATTTTAAATGATAAAACTTCGTTTATTATTACTTAGTACAGAGTAATAATAAAATTTTGGAACTGCTGCATTTGTTATAACATGAAAACACTAAGGCGTGTCCAACTAACTAAACAAGATAACGCCATTGTAAATCCATTTTACGACATTAAGGCGTTTAGCTGCCTTTGATTTGATAGGCCTCATATATTGTTTGTCCTGTTTTAGATAAGTAATTCAACAGTTGATTACTTTGTAAAATAATAATAATTAAAATTTATGTGACCTTGTGCAATCACGAAGCCTACCCAACAAACAAGAGTACAAACCACACCAAAATACATCTGGGCACAACCAAAACCACAGACTATAAACTTGGATTTTGGCGAAGTCAAAAAGGATTAAATTTCAATTATAAAAGAAATTGATAATTGAAGTGTGTGACGAGCTGATAATGAGCATTAATGAAATGTGGATTGGCCGTAACAAGTAAAAAGCAATTAAAACAAGTCTCATAACAATAAAATTTTTGTAACTAGTCTTAACCTACTCTAGTTTTTTTTTGGTACATGAAAAAATCACTCTTATTTAGTTTATATAGTTTCAAGGCTTTAACGATCATGAATATTAATAAGCTGACAGAAACCTACACCCACGCACTCATGTACAAACCTCGATTGATGCAGATTATAAAAGAAGCAAACAGCAGAGATTACTTCATATTAGTCATTTTTCAAATGTTAAGAGTCTTAAGAGCTTACAATAATTTTGGGTATTCAATGTACAGTAGAGATAGAATTTGTTCACAAATAGACGGAAGGAACCAATGCTCTAGGCTTTGAGACTAACCAGCTAAAGTAAATACTATATTAAACTTTCCATTGACAATGGGAGGCATGTAAATCAAGAGACTTTGTGCAGTGTACAATATAGGTATGAAAGAAAAAAAGCTCTAATATCTTAAAAATTTAATGTCAATGGTTTATAGATTTTTATTTTTAATTGTGTTTTTTTAAAAATATTTCATTATTTTTCTAATGGGGAATAATTCAAAAGTTTTTCAATGAGATCCACGTGTCCGAGCAACATTCTTCTGCAGCAGTATCTTTTCAATCCAAGGACATCCAAAGCATCACTGAAAGTAAAAAAATACAATTAAATATTAACATTCACATAGTAAATCTCTACTGTATACAGTACGCTTAATTGACATCGATGAGTACCAGTAATCTATCACTATCAAGTGAATCCGATGCCTATAAAACACATTAAAAAAGGTATAAGAATACTCAAAGCTAACAAGCATTAACAATCTTATTTCATTGCGGCAGTTGGTAGTAATGATTATATCAACTCTGGCCACTTTTTAGATACCTTACTTGTCTGGTAGGATATCATCTTACATTTATCACTTACATTATACCCTTCTATTTCCTCACACTCAAACTGGATATTGCAAAACAGTCCAGAGATTAATCTGGTGTCAAGATCTACCATCATTACCACCTTGTGACCTATGGATTATGATAACCACTTTAAAATAGGTGGGCTGTAAGTATGAGTTGGCAAATAAGAAAAACCCAAGTTAACGGGAATCACCTAAATATTCCGTCATTTGAATTCATAAGAACATTAATATTGTTTCTGGGAGGAACTAAACTATCAAATTACTACATTATATTATGTATGTCAGTTATTTCCATTTTATAGTTCTAGAATATTGGTATGTATAAAAAACAGGTGCAAAACTTAAATTGTACAGTACCCTTCTGTGTAATCCGCCTGTAGCAGGCCTAAGTAAGCTTCCCATTTGTTTCCAATAACTTTCCCGCATGTGAAACATCGTACTGGAATAATCATTTTGTTTATTTCCTACAACGTAAAGTCGTGGTGAGACACTGGGGTTATTATAAAGTATCAATGCTTTAACTATTTATTTGGTTTATAAAACGTATTTACTTTTAATAATAATAGAAGATATTTTAGTTACAAAGTATCATTAAATTTAATGAGAAAACACTGTAATTCTATTCTTTACAATTCACAATAATATTATTTTACTTCGAGATAAAAACTTTTTAGACTCGCAACCGCAACGACAGTCATAGATTACATTTTAAGTGTATTGTCTATGACTTATGATTAAAGATGACAGTGTCACAAGAAAATATGATATTTTTGTTTGTTGATTTCAATCGGCAAAAGGAATGTAGTTTATAGAACCAAATTTTAATGTTTTATTTTTAAAACATTTTAAAACATTGAATGAATGTTCATTTCATTTGAATGGTACATAATTATTTTTTAAATTTCCAAACTGACTTTTAGTGGTTGGATTTTAGAGAGTAACATATGGCTCCTTTTTAACGTTTGAGTCAAATTGATTGACGCGTAGTTGGAGCAGTCTACTTATTATTAGAATATTTTAATAAGTAATCAAGAAATTTACTAAGCCAGTCTTAAAAAATGTGAAATGTATGGTTTTCTCTGTTATTTCAGGTTAAAATGACTTTATCCCTGCAGCAACATATCAGTATTGATGACAGTCAAATGGTACGTAGCATTTCATTTGTGATCATCGGCAAATCAATGTAAATAAATCAAGTTAAAACAACCATTCATTCCGTACATTAGGTATGGGAGAGCATATCGAATTTGTGAAATCTCAAAAGTCCAAAGTTAATTATTTTATTTTGTAAATTTAATATTTCATCAGATCTACATGTGTAATGAGAGTGAATTGTGAACCGTTTGGAATATGTGAAAATGCAAAAGGTTGGGGAAAATGAAAGACGAACTTCAGTCATAGCTTCTCGTATTCTTCCAAAATATGCATTAGGCTGTCAGTTGCTTAATAATAAGTTACTGTGATATTTATTTAATTTCATGTAATTCAACTCCTATGATGTTGTTGTTGTTAACTATATTTCATTTTCTCCTTCAGTGTTATCTGCTTCCCCTCAATATGGGAATCGACTCATTGCAATGCTGCGCTGCATAAAAATATGTTCTAAATACATTTCCAGCTGCTTTACTCCATTTTCTCATACTTGTGTACTATAACAAATGTTTTACGGTTAATAAACCATTATTTTAAGCTTTAAAGTCTGAAGAAACCCTAAATTAAGTAAAATGAAACATTTCGTACAATTTCCATTCGGTCTCATACAATTATTCAGTTTATTCGTTCCAGTTCACCTTTGACTGATGATTGGCTTCAGCTTAAAGTACAAAACATTTTACTGTATGCGTCCCATTTCCTTTGCCTGTACTATATGAACGAATCAATAAAAATGATATTTTGACAATTGACATTAGATTATTAAAAGAAATACAACAAACAAGGGGGTTTTGTAATTTTTTGGTGATAATTTTTCTTACTTTTCTGTTGTATTTTGAATTATTTACAATTTCAAAGGTCTGGCCTTAGCGTTAATTCGGATATAATAGTGAAAATTATCTGACAGTGCTGTTATCAGGCAATTTTGCAGTATGAAATTTTAAATTTAGTTTTTAATTTCATGACCAAAAGCGTTGTTCTCAATTGAAATACAAGAATTCATTAAGATTATTTTAATAAGCATAAAAAAAAATTCTTAATATGATTTCATTTCTGTAATGAAATTTAAATTTATTAGTCTACTAGATAAATTAAAAAAACAAAGAATATATTACAAAGTAGTGAGATTATTGAAATAAAAAAAATGGATTCAGATGATGATATTCAACCTTTGATACATTATAAGGGAAATAGCTCTCGAGAACCACTGTATTTAGAACTTACAACACAGTTAATCAACATTGACCCTGATTTTGAACAGGTAAGGACTAGTTTTATCCTTAATAGATCAAAAAGACTGAATTACTGATGATTTTTAATCAAATTAATTCATATATACATACAAAAAATCTGCTGTTCTATTTGAAAAGGTTCGTGTGGTGGGTGGTTTTGCTTAGTGAGTCATGTAAAAACAGTTTTGACTTCCAGGATGAATTAGCCAATGGCCTAATTCTGATGAAACTTGTGTTTTACTGCATTAGGAAGTGACCTTGGTGATAGAGAGGTGCCAAATGACATGGTGGGATTCTGGTACCTAATTATGTGAAACCATAGGTTTTTTTTGTGAAAAGGCTGAAGCTGTGGGACTTAATGATCTGCAGATGTTGTGAACAGACTGTGGTCCCAAAGATGTTTTTATGAAGGACTTTTATCCTGCTGGGTCAGAACCAGCCTGCTGGGTTAAAATGTGTTACGGTCTGGGTTGGTCTTCCACAGTATATTTGGCGACTACAGCTACGACCGCAATGTGGATGGCAATGCAGATCCCAGCTGATGACGTGCGGTACCCTGCAGGCGAATTCACAGGGGGTCTCTCCTTCCTCAGCAAAACAAGTCTCCCTGTCTTGCTTGCTCCACAGCTTAGGAAGCTGCCCTGATTCAAGGCAGGCTTCAATGAGCTGCACAAGTCGCTCCCCAAGGGCACTGAAGTACAAATCCTAGCCCCGCCGTGAACAACGTCAGGGCAAGGGGTCGCGTCCTTGCCCCATAACCTCGGCACGGTTGCACGAATCTCCTCCTCCGAGATGCTTGGAGGGACCACCTCAGCAGGGGCGTCACCGTTCACGTCACCGCGTGGCGGCGCGCCCATGGGACCCCTCCCAAGTATCGAAGTATGCCCATGTGTGGGAACAGCCCGCAGCTGTCCAAGCTGGAGACGCTTCGTCACCGGGAGCGCCCACAGCCGCAATTTCTTGCGTTGGTTTGGTACGGGTGCCCCAGAGATCCTGATCGAGCGTCTCTAGATACATCTTCATGCTCTGAGACGTGGCTTTGCATCGCATTGCAGTATGGCAGACGCGATGCATCGTACCTCGGAACCAGTTGGCCGCCGACTCCAAGTCAACTAGGCACGCGGCGCCCACACGATTACTGTGGCCGCCTTCACCGCGAGCACCTTGTTCAGGTGCTTCAGTGCCCATCGCGGGAAAGAGCTACGCGGGAGCTCCTTCTTCGCTGCGGGCATCTTCGGTCGGGGCGTTCAACGAGGTGGAAGCGAAGAGCTCGTATCGGACGCACCGATGGTTCGAGAGCGTCTCTGCCCCCTCGAGGACGCGCCAGCCACAGACACGTTGCGCGGCGGACGGAGACACGAATGACACGTCTACATGTGAGTCCCGCACGCAGGTCGCGACCGAACTCCTTCCTGTTCAGAAGATAGAGGCCAAAAAACCACATGACTTGCCTACCCATTCATGTCAAAAAATGTTGTTACTGTGTGAAATTAGGTATAAAATATGAAAAAAAAATTACAAGATAATCTACGCTTTTTGAAATTACGTCATGAAATTTAAATCCTTATACTATGAATTATATACATAATTAAAAAAAATGTATTGTGTAAAACAAAATACTGATATGAGAACAACAGAGAAACTTATCAATTCATATATTATATTATGTTAAGTACTTTAAACATTGTATAAAAGTTTATCAGGATCAGTTACAATTAACAATGAATTATACTAAGCATTAGCCTAATTTAAATAATATTCTTGTTTAACATTTGTGTTAATGTTGTGTGATTGTTATTTTACTGCTACAGAATTTATCTATTATTGTTTTCCTATTGTAAAGAGCAAATAATGTATACTTACAATAAGTATGTGACGCATGTGATTTTTATCTCATTCATTTGGTAAATGTAAAATTATGTACCACTAAATGAGCTTCTAGCCTAATGGTAGCATGTGTCCTTTTAACGTTACCACTGTTTTAAAGTGTCGCTATAATTTCTCAATATTGCAAAATAAACATATAACCAATTTTTTCTTGTTAAACAGGTAGTATATGGTTACCGGAGAACTAGATGGCGAACAATATTAGTACACATTTTCACTGTATTAACGGTCGGTATACCGGCTTTAGTATTCCATTGGTATCCAACTTGGTTCCTCTATATGACCTGTGTGAGATGCAGTTTCCAAGTTGCCGATCAGGTTTTAATTGTTGTAAGTATTTACAAGCTACTTCAATCCATCAAGAATTCAAAGCTTTTTTCCGCTGTGCCGTCATGTCTAATATCTGTCCAACAAATATCTAATCTTCACACTACAGTAGTACATTAGTAATAATCTAATTAGTGATAGTAATAGTGAGATCAAAGTTTCTGTCAATGTTAATGTAATCTATTATCATTTCATTCCAGGAAACATATCAAAAGAAATGTAAAAGTTATTATATTCACAAAATACGCCATAAAAACATAGAAGACACAAGGTAATAAACAGCGATATTACAAAAACATTTGTCTTTATTTGTAATACTGATTATTAAGAATTTTGCAGTGGATTATTCAATGAGGGTTTTGATGTTGAGCCGGGAGATGATAAAAGAAACTTTGAAACTGCTGATGCTATACACACTCCCATACATTTGGACGATGGTTCCACTCTTAGTGAGTATCACCATAATTTACTTAAAAAAAAATCTGGCAATGTATTTTGTAACTGCCGCATAACACAATTATCCTATAACTAAACTACCCCATTTTCCACAGATGCTCTGAATGTTTCTATCAAATTCATTATTCACAAATAGTAATTACAAGTATTCTTTTCTTTCTGGTCGTTCCCTCAATTCTGAGGATCGTGACTGTATGTCAATCTTCTCCACTCGGTCCGGTTCTGCGCCATATGTACCGCTCCCCATATCTGGCTTCCAGTCACCTCCTTGAGTTGGTCAACCCATCTAGCTGGCGCTCTTCCTCTAGCGCGCTTCCCCTCCATCTGTCCGAGAATTGTGAGTTTCTCCAGGCTGTGCAATGAGGATCGCATTATGTGCCCAAAGAAACTCCGGATCCTTTCCTGGCACATAGTCAGCAGGCGCTTGGTGACCTTCAGCTCTTCGAGGATGGAGACATTGGTTCTCATAGCTGTCCAAGGAATGCGTAGCAGCTTTCTCCAGCAATACATTTCAAACGCCTCAATCTTTTTGCGTTCCTTTTTCCTGAGACACCAAGTCTCCACCCCGTACAGGAAGATAGAGAAGACCAACGTACGAACCAGACGCATCTTAGTTACTCGGCGAATATTACGGTCTTTCCAGATTTTATCGAGGCTAGTCATGGCACTTTTAGCCATCCCGATACGGCGTCCGATTTCTTTCTTGCAGTTACCACTGTTAGAGATCAAATTATATATAAATAATAATTACAAATAATTACAAGTATAAAGGCACCTAACACACTTCTTCAATAAGAGCTAATTAAATTGAGCCTATAAAATTTTTACATCATTGTTTCTGAATCAGATGTCCAAAACTACCGTTATTTCCGGCACAAAAAGCAGTCTATAATATGGGACGCGGGTAGAGCGCAATGGGTGAGACTAGCTGGAATCGAAGCTGGGGCGACATGTGCGCAACTTCATGCAAGGGGCGCCATAGCACCTACTAGTGAAAAAAGGATTAGGATGTGAGTTCACATTATGTTATTATTTATGACTAGCTGAGTCCAGTGACGCCGCAGGGCGAAGCTAGTCTAAAAAAGTAGCCTAAGTTACTTCTTATATCATCAGCTACGTAACAGTGAAAGTCTCGTCAAAATCGGTCCAGCCGTTCCAGAGTTTAGCTGGAACAAACAGACAGGCAGACAGACAAAAATTGAAAAAAAAAAGTTATTTTGGTGTATATTATACTGTATATATATGATTCATATGCATATAGTAAAAAGCGATTATTTCAATATTACAAACAGACTCTCCAATTTTATTTATATGTATAGATATGATGTTTGTAAACTCGGGGGTGTAGCGATAAACATTATTTTCCCTGTAATTTATTTGCAGGTTAAATATATACGGCTTGAACGAGATAAAGGTTCCTGTACAGTCTATCTTCACTTTGATCCTCTTGGAAGTATTCAATCCGTTCTACGTATTCCAATTTTTCACAATAGCCGTGTGGCTCGCAGAACCTTACTATTATTATTGTATTGCCGTTGTTTTAATGTCGACGTTCGGTGTTGCCACTTCTGTGATACAAACCAAAAAGGTTAGTTGAATTTTAATCAATAATTTAATTCAAGCATTGTTCTATTTTGATGTTGTATGTATGTTATTTGATTTTATGTTATTTAATTTTGAATTCAAATTAATAAAAACTATTAGAAAGTCTTGTAGCTTATTTTATAGTAGCTAAAAGAGATTCACGGTTCAAAGATTTTATTACAAGATAGGATGCTGGGATATTATCGGGAGATGGGGACAAAAAATCCTGTTGTTTGACTTATATACTGATATGGTTTTGTGTTGCGAATTGTATCATTTTCTAGGATATAACAGCTACATCAAAGTGGCGGAGACTTAGTTTTAAGGCAAGTGGCAACCATATATGTTTATCCAAGTGGGTCATAAGTTCTATCAATTAGCGGTTTAGTGCTAAGCAAAATAAGTCAATAATAATAAAGATATTGACAGTTTTTTTTTAAATGACCCAATTTTCTTTTCAGTCCTCTGACAAAAATTTTGATGTTTTATTTTTATTTTTTATTGCTCTTGTAGACAAGCATACGGCCCACTTGGAGTGGTTGCCGTTGTCAATGGGCTTCAGCAATGCCAGGGGCAGAGCCAAGCCGCTGACTGCCATGTACCTGCGAACTTGTAACTGCGGTTTGTTAATCATGGTCGTAATGGTTCAGAACCAGGAGAGTCTCCGCGCGACCGTGGAGGCTCACAGCACGGTGCGGCTGTGGGACGGGCGGGTGGTGGCGACGCGGGCAGTTTGTCCGGGGGACGTGGTACTGCTCCCGGCAAGGGGCTGCACGCTGCATTTCGACGCGCTGCTGCTCACCGGCACCGCCGTGCTCAACGAGAGCATGCTCACCGGTACTCAAGCACAGACGCTTAATCGCATCTGAAGTTTTTGTTTGTTTGTGGTTTGAAGATGTATACAAGACAAGCTATTATATTTGTGTAGCTATATGTTGTATTTATGTATATTCCAAGTCTTTTTATGACCCTTGTGAGTCCGCACGGGTAGGTACCACCGCCCTGCCTATTTCTGCCGTGAAGCAGTATTGCGTTTCGCTTTGAAGGGCGTGGCCGCCGTTATAACTATACTGAGACCTTAGAACCCATATCTCAAGGTGGGTGGCGGCATTTACATTGTATATGTCTATGGGATCCAGTAACCACTTAACGCCAGGTGGGCTGTGAGCTTGTCCACCGATGTAAGCAAAAAAAAAAGAAAAAAAAAAAAACCTCTCCTTACATTACCGTCTCCTTTCACACCTGGGTTCTTTTTGGTCACACGATCATAACATATATCATGATAACCTGCCACTCTTAGCTTTTTTCGGTTACTGTCGCTTTTTTCAGATTTCCCCTCCGCGTTTAATTTACTGGTGCTTGTTTTCATTATTATAGTTTAATATTTGTATACATCTGTTTGTTTTTCTCAGGTGAATCAGTGCCGGTCGGGAAAACGGCTTTGTTGAGGGTCGACAAACCATTCGACATGAAGGAGCACGCGGCCAGCATTCTGTTCTGCGGCACCAGAGTCATTCAGACCCGGTACTACAACAACGAACCTGTCAGGTCGGTCTCAAGGGAAAATAACCTTTATTTTTTAAGGTTTAGAACTTACTTTTTGTTTTCCTACCTATTCTGGTAACCTCGAGGGGTTATTCTAGATTCACCGAGCTATTAGGTGAGCTTGCGGTGCTCAAACCGGGAGTGTTGCTAACACTGGTCCTAGAAAGAGCCGTGCTTCGCAGAATCTACCACCGGATGGGAAACGCGACCCACTGAGAAGATCCGGTGAGCATTTGTGCTCTCTTATGATACAAAGAAGTCTGTCTGCGAGATCTGCTATCGGCTGGTGTCGGATACAAAGCAATCGAATAAGTAATTATAGTTGACCTTTGTTGAAAACGCTGCATCGCATACAAATTATAATAAATTATATATTTTTCATTACGGCACCGGTCACCGTCCTCGCCGAACCCGTCGCTTGCGACGAAGATCTCAACGAGTAAATTAACCCACAGACACAGCCTACTGAGTTTCTCGCCGGATCTTCTCAGTGTATCGCGGTTCCGATCCGGTGGTAGATTCTGCGAAGCACTGCTCTTGCTAGAGCCAGTGTTAGCACCAACGTCAGGTTTGAGCGCTGCAAGCTCACTTACTAGTTCGGTGAATCTAGAATAACCCCTCGAGGTTACTAGAATAGTTAGGGAAAAAACTCCTACACCGCCAAGTCAGTTAATAGTGTCTTAACACTAAACATACCATAACGGGTCAAATGACCCATTTTGAACTTTTGCATTGAAAATGCACGTATCATCTTATCGCTTTTGTACATTTGACTTCATGACTTTTTCTTACCAATTAATCTACAGTTACATTATACTTTTTTTTTGTTTTGTTTTGTTTATTTTGAGTTATATTTGTCCATATAACGTTATCTACCCAATATGATAGAAATAGGTACCTACTAGTAAGTGTTGGCATGGTTAGTGCTAACATCTAGCAAACATTTTAAAGTTCCCTATTTTGAGGGTACCTCGTTCCCAGGGCCTTGGTGCTGCGTACGGGCTACAACACAAGTAAAGGGCAGCTGGTCCGCAGTATACTGTACCCGGTGCCGGCGGACTTCAAGTTCGACCGGGACTCGTACAAGTTCATCATCATCCTAGCCGGGATAGCGGCGTGCGGACTGGCCTATACCGTGGCCTTGAAGGTATGTTCTAATTCATGTCAACAACATTTTTACTAGAGCCACTTAAATAAATTGCTTCCGCAAATAAAATAATGCATGAAAATATGTACAATATTGTTACGCCGGTAAGAGTAACGCTGTCTATCGCCGAATAGTCGAACGAATATCGAAGGACCTAGTAGCACCTAGAACGCTCGAGAAGTACAACGCCATCTATTGACAGATAGCGGAAAGTACTACTAGAGATGTGTGGAATATTCTCAATAATTCTAGGGGTGAGGTATCGGTATAAGAGCGTTGCAGAGATGGCACGCAGTCAGTCAGTTATCGGAACTAGTCGAAGCGAAATAGCGAACGGAACACCTGAAGGGAAACGGAACAAGAGAATTGAGAGTTTTTTGATTTATCCCGACCCCCAGAGCGTAACAATTTAATGTATTGTTAATTTTTTTTTTTAATATTCAACTTTTTTGAAAGGCCGATGAGTGTTATGTTATGATACAATACGACATTAAAAAGGTCATCGTTCGGTCATCGCAGGCGTTAGAATTAACCCACAGACATAGCCCACTGAGTTTCTCGCCGGGTCTTCTCAGTGGGTCGCATTTCTGATCCGGTGGTATATTCTGCGAAGCACAGCTCTCGCTAGGATTAGTGTTGGCAACGTCGTTAGGTTTGAACCCAAAAAAAATGTTTTTTTTTTCATTTCATAGATAACAAAGATGAAGTCGAATTGTGAGCTATAAGTTATAAGTGGTCACCGGGGCCCATAGATAATTTTACTTTTTTATTTTTTCGACACGTCCAGGCGTACCGCGCTCTCACTCCCAGCGATATAGTCCTGAAGGCGCTGGACATCATCACGATCGTGATCCCGCCCGCGCTGCCGGCCGCCATGACGGTGGGGCGGCTGTACGCCGTGGCGCGGCTGGCGGGCGCGCGCGTCGCCTGCCTCAACACGCGCGCCGTCAACGTCACCGGCTCGCTCGACTGCATGTGCTTCGACAAGGCAAGCGCTACTTGTTTACTGCCGGTAGGACCTGCACCAGTACCACCACCCTGCCTCTTTCTGCCGTGAAGCAGTAATGCAAGTGGGGCAACCGTTGTAATTATACTGAGACCTTAGAACTTATATCTCAAGGTGGGTGGGTATTTACGTTGCAGTTGTCTATGGGCTCCAGTAACCACTTAAAACCAGGTGGGCTGTGAGCTCGTCATTTAAGCAATAAAAAAAAACAAAGCTCAGCTTAGTTGCGCATTGCTGTGGGACCTTACGACTTGAAATGGGTGCTGCTATTCACGAGGTGAGCTCTGGTCGCCATTATGCACCAGGTGGACCGTCAGCTGGACAGGCGCTGTTACAGTAAAAGCTCATTATTCGCGCTTTTTACATTGCGCGTTTTCACTATTCACGGATTAAAAAAATGTGACCCAATTCCTATGTTCGCGGATAAATATTTCTTTATTCGCGACTTTAATCGGTACATTGATAAAAAGGTAGGTAGGTATCCAACCGAATATCTTTTGTAAACGCGCTTTTCCACATTCACGGTTTCTGTATTCGCGACATATTCACAGAATATATATACCCCGCTAATAAAGAGCTTTTGCTGTACTTAAAATGTCAGGAATTTTTTGTTTGTAAATATTACAGTTACAGTAGTACACTTTGCTATGTGAAAGCTTCACTCCGAAAATAAGCTGAATCTTTTTCGAATTATTCAGACGGGGACGTTAACCGAGGACGGGCTAGATATGTGGGGCGTGGTGCCGGTGAGCGCGGCCACCGACCCGCCGATGCTGGGCCGCCCGCAGCGGGACCCCGCCCTCATCAACGACTTGCACGACCTCAAGATGGGCATGGCCGTCTGCCACAGCCTCACGCTGCTCGATGGGGAGCTCGCTGGAGACCCGCTGGACTTGAAGGTGACTTACAGCATAAACAATCATTTTAATGAATACTGGCAGATCCGACAGATATCCTGTGACAAAAATTCATTCAAGTCGATCCAACTGCTTAGTTGCAGTATAGATAAATAACCTAGATACCCACTGCAGCGCCATCTGCCGGGCTGATTTGTGAATCTAAATAATTCAGACCGCCACCCAAATGCATACAAAAAAATTCACTCAAATCGATCCAGTAGTTTAGGAGGAGTTCAGTGACAGTGACACACAGACAGTAGAATTATATATATATAAAGAAAATGACGATATTTTAACACGTGATGTTGACGTGATACACAACGGTCACATCGAGTCGACATACATCGCGACACTAGCGCCACACAGCTTGGTTAATTACAGAGCAATATAGAAGTCGGCACAGTTCACTTCCTACGATACGGTGGCGCCCTCAGTGACGGGAATCGTCCACGTGTTTGTGTAGATGTTCGAGTCGACGGGCTGGCTGCTGGAGGAGCCCGACGTGCCCGAGCCGTCCAACTACGAGGTTCTGACTCCGACCATAGTGAGACCCAAGAAAACTGCCAATATCAACGTCGATGACATTCATGTGAGTACAGGCTTTTTTTGTTACGCTTTTATTAGTTTCAGACGTATGTATATATGTAACGGAGTTTTTGAACATGATTTTGACCCCCTTCAAAACGTTGGATTAACTCGAAATTTGGTATACTTATTAAGGATCGATGACAATTCAATATTAAATTGAAATTCAACAAAAAAATCAAGAATATATAATAGTTTAAAAAAACTAACAAAATACGCTTTTATAGAAAATCCAACTAAAAAATAGAAAATAAATTTTAATAAATTTGAATTAAAAATAGTGAGCAAAATTGATTTTATTGTAAAAAAAGCGTGTAAAAAAAGCTTTGTCCGGTCCACTTATTACATAACATCGTCAACGCTGTCATGTCTTTGCTGTCATAGCAGACATTGCAGCAAGCGCATGAACCAATCACCGCTTTCGTTTTGAAATTGTGTCGGGTAGCCATCACAGAACACAAGATATTTGACAGATGCCTGAATCTCGCTTACGACATTTTCAAGATACGCTTGCAGATATACACGTTCAGAACAACTACGTTCGGACCGTCGGTCTACCGAGCAAATATCACCCGCTCGGTGGAAGATCTTCCCTTTGTCGTATATCTCCCCAAAAAATCAAACCAATCACATAATGTTTATTTCCAACCTCAGTTTTGATTGGTTTTTGTTTCGTACGTCGTTTTGGTTTCAAGTGGGGCCACTTTTTTTGTGAAATTTATTCGTAGTGGAATACACAGTTTTTTTTTTGCCTAAACCTCGAAGCCTGATTCATGAACTGCCTAATATCGTTTGCCTTATATAGATTAGAGTTATGTTAACAAACTTCTTACCATATTTTTTTTTTATCTGTCTATTCATTTCATTGTTGCAGCATCACGCAAAAATTATTACATAGTTTGATTTTGACGATGTCTTAAATTTTCTTCACAGCTCCTTATCAATATTATCTTAGCACATTACACATTAATTGATTTCGAATCATCACAGATGCCGCTGGAGCTGGGCATAGTGCAGCAGTATCAGTTCGTCTCGTCACTCCAGAGGTCCTCGGTCGTGGTCCGGATGCTGGGAGAAGATGTACTCCGCGTTTACTGTAAAGGAGCTCCCGAGATGATTACGATGCTGTGCCGACCCGAGACAGGTGGGTTGTAATGGATACTTCACTATAGCGACATTGCTTTAAACTACTTTAAAGCATATATGGGCCAATTACCCAACCAAAATACAAAAACCCAATTAAAAAAATATTACATAAAAAAGGTACTTATACTCCCTGGCACCCGGGCGGGCCCACCGACGCGCACTCTGCGTGGCTGGGGGCTCCGTCTGTGGGAGAGTTTTGCTGGACTTTCCCCCGGGCGCATCCGTAGTTGGCGGATAACGGGCGGATTCTCTACGCCCTTCACTGGCTGGTTTTACTTTTTATTCTGTCTTTCTTTCTGTGTTGTTTTTCTTTCTGTTTTGTTTTTTGTTCTGTTTTCTTTTATGCTTTTGTGCACGTCTGAACCTTTTTCGGCGTGATCTACGAGAGATGGTGGGCCACTTTTTTGGTCTGCCTTTTTGATGGAGTAGTAAGCCGGCGTTGCTTATGCATCTTCCGGCCGCTGGTCCCATGTCCTCGGCTTCGGCTACAGGTAAACGCCCTCCAGAAGGGGTACCGGTATACCGGCGTGGCTTCGTCGTTGTTGCTCTCTTGAGCTTTGGGCGGTGGTCTGTCGTGTCGCTCGTTTCACTCGGCGGGCCGCCGGCCAAACCGTAATTCTCACCGCGTGAAGGACTGGGGCCGCTGCCGCAGACTGGTTCTGCTGAGGAAGGCTGGGCGCCCCGCGGACTCACCCGCGGGCATTCGCCCCATCGTGTCGCTGGACGAAGCGAACAAAATGCTGGAGAGAATCTTCGCGGCCCGCATCGTACGGCACCTGACCGAAACGGATCCCGATCTTTCGGCGGAGCAGTACGGCTTCAGAGAGGGAGAGCTACTGTTGCTGTTGGTCGATCGTTGGATCGACGTGATTTTGCGAGTGCGTGCCCTCTCCGACGAAGTCGTAACCCGGGTGGGGTGGCAATGGCGGTGTCTCTGGAAATGTCTGGAGGTGTTGAATGCGTTCCCCGTTCCGCATTGCCCTGTGATCGCGGGGGAGCTCGAGTATCACGGTGTCCCCGGCGTACCTCAGCCGGCTGATCGGCTCCTATCTCGAGAACAGTTCGATCGAATGCGTGGGGCGGTATGACGCTTCCCCGTCGAGCGCGGTCGTACAACGCGAGACCACATACAACACGGGACCTTATTCGGACCTCATACAACGCGGGACCTCATACAACGCGAGACCTCATACAACGCGAGACCTCATACAACGCGGGACCTCATACAACGCGACACCTCATACAACGCGGGACCTCATACAACGCGGGACCTCATACAACGCGAGACCTCATACAACGCGAGACCTCATACAACGCGAGACCTTATACAACGTGGGACCTCATACAACGCGAGATCTCATACAATGCGAGACCTCATACAACGCGAGGCCTCTTACAACGTGAGACCTGATACAACGCGAGGCCCACTATAACGCGAGGCCCACTACAACGCGAGGCCCCCTACAACGCGAGGCCCACTAGAACGTGAGGCCTACTACAACGCGAGGCCCACTACAACGCGAGGCATCGGGCTGTGACCGCGACGCAGATGCTTACCAGCCACGGTTGCTTCGGCCGGTACTTACACAAGCTAGCTGGAAGGGAACCGACGGCGCAGTGCCACCATTGCGCAGACCGCGACGAAGATGACACAGCGGAACACACATTGGCGCGTTGCTCTAGCGCTGCCCTCATTGCGGTCATAGGAGAGGTCCTCTCGCTGACGGGCGTCGTCCACGTGCTACCGAGCCTGAGTCGTCACCTGAGTCGACCTGAGGGGGTCGAGGCCGCACAGCGCGTTACCAGCACTCTAACGCGCTGCCGAGGAGAAATATCTTCAAGATAAAAAATGAGCAATCGGTTGTACCGCGTCCCAGAATACCAGTCCAGCGGGGTATTCTGAGACACCAGCGGCGCCGTCTGGGTGGCCTGACGGGCTGCCGTGCCGAGACGGCTGACGTTTCAGAGCCTTCGATTCGGAGACTCCGTCGGCCGGGTTGTCCTTGGGGAGAGCTGCGCCGCTTGGTTGTAATGTTGACCGCGGTAACCAGTGGGTTACTCAGTTAAGTGTACCTCATTCAGGTTCTGACCTCAGAGGGGATCGGACGCTCGGGCGCGGAGTGCAGGTGAGTCGTTTAGTGGGTAGGGCCCGCGGTCTCGCAGTCGCGGAACTCTTTTCTTCTCCCTAAACCATCTAAATATCTAAATACATTTAAAAAAAGGAATTTCATATTTCTGTTTGTTTTTTTATATTGATACGCATAACAGGGTTCCCAGATACTACACCAACCTTAGTAAGAACGCGCCTCTCAGCAGACTAGTTGGGGAATTAAACAATTTGCATAACAAGTATTCTCTGGACGTTTTTGCTGGCACTGTTGACAGTTTTAGACGAGGAGTCTACAACCTTGCTCAATGAGCTTCTTCAATTAAGTAATAGCGTGTTTTGTAGTAAATGTGTAACAATATGAGGTCTTCATGTAATGTTACATATAGTTTTTTTCAATGCATGCAGTCGGTACGTGTAATTGTGTTAGCATTTAGTGTGAAATCAATGTATATGATACCGGTAATGTTCTGTGCTGATGTTGGTACCCAATAAATAAAATAAAATACGTTTGGTCTCTTTTTCAGTTCCAAATAATCTTAGCGACGTTCTCGCCTCGTATGCCGAAAAGGGATACCGCGTCATCGCTATGTCTACCCGGATAATGGAAGCGACGCTCAAGCAGATTCACAAGATGACAAGAGAAGAGGTGAGGCTCACTAGTGCCTTCAGAAACGTGAGGCGTGAGGGGACATCACCAGCAGACCTTTCTGACCCTCATTAATGTTCAAAGCAATCCCTATGGAGATCTGGAATATTTATGATCCCCTCAGCCGGGAGTTGCTAGACTTTCTTATTCTTGTGTTTTTTTAGTATGGCAATTGGCTTCTTCCGGTGCTATTGTTGCCAGTAATAAGCTTATAACCATCTTCAATTATTAATAGTTATTATGCCATACGATGTATTAATAGTTAATATACTTAAATATAATTCTGTTATATGAAAAATGATATAGATGAGATTAACTATATTACTTGAGACTGAGATGAAATTAAATAAAACGAGATGAGGTGGAGAGCAATAAAGTATCAGTAAAATGGTAGTAGCTTGCTGAGAATTCAGTGGACTTTTTGGAGGAACCCGAAAGCGTCACCGTCCAGCGACTTTGTATCATTTTCCCTTTTTTTTCGGGCACTTTCACAGATGCTAAATGCGCAATAAACCATTATTATCCGTTTAAATCTGACATTTTATTTACAACATTAAATTAACAAAATAAACCCAATTATTAATACAACTTCGCTAGTCAAGTTCCGGCCAAAGCGCATTTTTTATGAACGATAAAAAAATAATTGTACCAAATTTTTGTTTTAAGTGTTTTTTTTTTAATAAACAGGCCGAACGTGATCTAGAATTCTTAGGGCTCGTCATAATGGAGAATCGTCTAAAAGCTGCGACCACGGGCATCATACGAGAACTCAAGGAAGCCAATATACATGTGGTCATGATAACAGGTTAGTGCAACCGTTCGCATACCAGTTTGTCTCAGATAGAACATTGTCAATGGATCTTGTGTACTTGTCACGTAACAGGTAACAAAGTGTGTCTCAAAATAAAACAAAAAAAATTGGTGCGCGTGAAATAATGTTGGCTTAGAAAGATATATCATATCTCAAGGTGGGTGGCGGCATTAACGTTGTAGATGTCTATGGGCTCCGGTAACCACTCAACATCAGGTGGGCTGTGAGCTCGCCCAACCCATCTATGCAATAAAAAAAAAAGAGTTTTTTTTAGTCTGTTAAAATTATGAAATTATTTATCTGTAGTATAAAAATCACTAAAGGACCGTCACATCGTCACAGATACTAAACGTTTTATATATAGCCCATCGCTTAAATACATGAAAGTCGATGAAGTTAAGTTCTTTTTTCACTCCATCAAATCAAATCAAATCAAAATAAAAATAAAAATATTCAATATAAATGAAAGTACATACTTGTTGAACGTCAAAAAGAACTACCGCCAATTCACAAAAACTAATCTTCGTTCTGAGAAGAACTGGCAATAAACTCAGCGGGCATGCCTTTTTTTTAATATTAGATTTTTTTTAATATTCATTTGCGGCTCATTACATGATGTCAATAAAATGCTACAGGTTATTTTATTTTTTTAAAGGGATTTTCTGACCTCGTAACTAAGACTTTTAGGTCAAGTATTATTTTAATGCTGCGGATTCAAAATGTCGTGTTTGTCGCAGGGGACAACGTGCACACGGCGGTGAGCGTCGCCAAGGAGTGCGGCATCCTCGCCAGCGGGGAGCGCATCGTGCAGCTCAGCGGTGACGCCGCCGCCCTGTACTGCGAGAGCACCCTGCACGGGGTCAGTCGACTGTAACCTTTCTTACTGGTGGTAGGACCTCTTGTGAGTCCGCGCGGGTAGGTACCACCACCCTGCCTATTCCTGCCGTGAAGCAGTAATGCGTTTCGGTCTGAAGGGCGGGGCAACCGTTGTAACTATACTGAGGCCTTAGAACTTATATCTCAAGGTGGGTGGCGCATTTACGTCGTAGATGTCTATGGGCTCCAGTAACCACTTAACACCAGGTAGGCTGTGAGCTCGTCCACCCATCTAAGCATTTTTTTTTAAAAACCTTAGGGTCGCCGCACACGGACCACCGGCCACAACCACTAAACGCCGCCACCGACCTATTTCCTGTTATTTTCATGCATTGTGGTGATACAGACGTGGTGGTTTACAATATGAACTATCACCGGTTGACTTTCACCGTTTAATAAAAGAAAACTACGACATCATATAGTTACTTTGTTTATTACGAGTGTATGCAAAAATATATATTATAACGATATGGAGTACTTCAGAAAAAAACAATAAAAGACTTAATCTCTTTTAAAATTAATTTAAAAAATTAAACAGTATTAGTCAACCATACGAAACTGAGCTGTATTTTTACCCAATAATAGACTTCCTTCCGTTACACTGAAAAACACTGAAAAAAAATCATTTTAAACAAATAAAGAGTTCTAAATAATAAAGATATAAAGGTTTTTCTTCACATATATTTAATCACTTTGTCAATATCTGTGAGCAGGCGCCGGTGGGGCGTCGTACGTTGCTACAGCGCGAATGGCGCAGTGAGGACAGCGGGCGCGGCTCCTGGGGACAATCCGGCTCCGCTTCAGGCTCGGGCTTTGCCCCCAACGACCCTGAGGCTCCAGCCTCCGAACCTCGCTACAAGATTGTCGTAACTGGTGATACCTGGAGGGTAAGCTTGTTCGATATTGTTTCTATGCAAATATGTTTTATATTGTTATCGGCGTGCTGTCTGGTATTTTTACTCTCGCTGGGTAAGCATAAATACATGAAAACAGTATTAAGGTTTCAGTTTAATTAAAAAAAATACAGAGAGCGTGCTTTGTACAATGACGTCATCGTACATGATCACGATACAAATACTATACCAAAACTCTCTTTTTTATATGGACACCGTCCCCTCTAAACTTTTGTGTAAGTCTGTGGTATATTAATAGTCAAGAAGAATTTCGACTTTTTTTGGCGAGTACGCGAGGAGTGAAGTTGTGTGATTTCTTTTATTTTGTCTATTTAGTGTTTCTTCAGGTTTAAATGTATAATAACGGTGGTTTATTAACTGTCTAATATCTGTGAAAGTACACAAATGTGGGAAAATGAAACAAAGCCGCTGGACGTAACTTCTCGGGATCCTCCAAAAAGTCCACTGAAAAAATTTCAGTGAATGACCACCATTTTACTGAGATTATATTTCATTTCATTTCATCTCATCTCATTTCATTTAATTTCATCCCAATTGATTAATGTCTCAAATTAATCATCTTCATTTCATTTCATTTCACTCCAAATTATGATTTTTCGTAAAAATATGAATATAAATTAAAATAAGACACGACTTACCAGGTCATAACATCACTTAAAAAAAAAGAAGAATTTCTTTAACCGACTTCACAGTAGGTCTGAGTAGGACAGACAATCTGACAGTTCTGAGTAGGTATCGAGGCTTCTTTATTCCAAGTGCACACATACATCATTAAATCTATTTTTGTGGTTTAAATATTTCGCGTTTTTTTTTTGTTTCGACCTCATACTGAGTGGATTAAGGTTTACAATATCTGTGTCGTGTGCAGATCCTGCGCGAGCACTACCCCGACATGGTGGGGCGCGTCGTGGAGCGCGGCGCCGTGTTCGCGAGGATGTCGTCCGATCAGAAGCAGCAGCTCATCGTTGAATATCAGGCTCTGGGATATTACGTCGGTGAGTACCCGTGAGCATTGAGCGTCAGGGGTGTGCCGTGAGTGCGTAGGGCTAACGCCGTCTTACTTACAGACCGCGACGTAGTTATCCATTCTGGTTTGAAGTGTGGAGTAATCTTTATGTAAATATATTAGTAGTGAGATAGATTAAAAAAATTTATAGCATCCTTATCTATAATCCTGTAAGAGTCTTTCTCTCCTTAGACTTTTTGGCGGGAAAGTGAGGAGTGAAGTTGTGTGATTTGTTTTATTTTGTCTATTTAGCGTTTCTTCGTGTTTATTCTATGTGTGATAACGGTGGTTTATTAACTGTTTAATATCTGTGCAAGTGCACAAATGTGGGAAAATTAAACAAAGCCGCTAGACGTAACTTCTCGGGATCCTCCAAAAGTCCATTGAAAAAATCTCAGTAAATGACCACCATTTTATTGAGATTATATTTCATCCCATATCATCTCATCTCATTTCATTTCATGCCAATTGATTAATGTTTTTTTTTATTGTTTAGATGGGTGGACGAGCTCACAGCCCACCTGGTGCTAAGTGGTTACTGGAGCTCATAGACATCCACAACGTAAATGCGCCACCCACCCTGAGATATAAGTTCTAAGGTCTCAAGTATAGCTACAACGGTTGCCCCACCCTTCAAATCGAAACGCATTACTGCTTCACGGTAGAGATAGGCAGGGTGGTGGTACCTACCCGCGCGGACTAACAAGAGGTCCTACCACCAGTAATGTCTCCAATTAATCATCTTCATTTCATTTCACTCCTTCTTTTATTACATATTCGAGCTAGACAGTTCGTTGATCGGATCACGTGCTCCGGCGTGGCTACTGACCCCCTCCCCCGCAGGCATGTGCGGCGACGGCGCCAACGACTGCGGCGCCCTGCGCGCGGCGCACTGCGGCGTGTCGCTGTCGGAGGCGGAGAGCAGCGTGGCGGCCAGCTTCACGGCGCGCGAGCTGTCCGCCGCGCCGCGCCTGCTGCGGGAGGGCCGCGCCGCGCTCGCCACCAGCTTCGGACTCTTCAAGTTCATGGTGGGCTACTCGCTCACGGAGTTCTTCTCCGTCGCCTTCCTCTACTACTTCGACTCGAACCTGACCGACTTCCAGTTCCTGTACATCGACATCGCGTTGATCGTCAATTTCGCCTTCTTCTTCGGCATGACTGAGGCCCACTCGGGCAAGTTGTGCGAGAGGCCCCCGCTGACGTCCCTGCTGGGCCTGGTGCCGCTGTGCTCGCTGGTGGGACAGCTGTCGTTAATCGCGGTGGCGCAGTACTTCGGCTACTACGCCCTGACGTTCTTCCCGTGGTACGTGAGGCATACGTACGCCGGCGAGGAAGAAAACGAGTGCTGGGAGAACTACGTGATCTTCGCGATATCGATGTTCCAGTACGTGATAATGGCGATCGTGTTCAGCCACGGCGCCCCGCACCGCCGGTCGATCCTCAGCAACAGAAAGTTCGTGGCGAGTCTGCTGGTGATGACGTCACTGTGCGTGTACATAGCCGTGTCGCCGGCCGCCTGGGTGGCTTCGTTCCTGCAGCTCCGGATGCCGAAGGACGTCCTGCTGTGCTACCTGGTGCTGGCCATCGCGGCAGCCAACTTCGTCGTGGCGCTGCTGTTCGAAAGATTGGTCATAGAGTACCTAATGGAAGGCAGAGAGATGATTCCGAAATTTTTGAAGGAAAAACGAGTTAGGAAGACTCCTCACTTGATGCTGAAAAGGCAGCTGACTGACATGGACTACCTGGATTGCGACAGCCTCGTGAAGTTTGATAAGGAGGGTGCCATTTCGGATGCCAGTTCCGGCAGAGGTAGCTGATTACTGATTAGCTAATACTTCTGTATGTGATGATATTACGTAAACATATCATGTTATTTAACAATTATACAAATTTTGGGAACTTTTGAATTAACTTAATTATACATAGTGTTTTTAAAATATTCGTCTGTGTTATAAAACTGGCAACACTGACATGTGTATGTTGCCAAAATAGGCAACCTTTTTTTTTAAATAAGCTTAAAATCGATTGTTATGCTGAAGAAAATTTCTACGTTACGTTATAATGTATGAAATAATAATGATAAATCTGAAAAGTTAATTATAGAATAGGAACCCTCGTGTGGCCGGGCGACCATTGGATCTGTAGGTTTACTCTTAATTTCGTAAACTAAAAACCGCTCGTGCTAAAATTGCCCACGATAAATTATTTTGAAACCTACATACTAGTGTACCGAAAGGTCTAAAGCAGCAAATTCTTTTCTTATTGTTGCTGCCGCTACACTAATATTAAAGTTCATATTATAATAAGTTAGAAAAAAATATCTTTAATATTATGCATGTAATTAATTATAAAATATATTTCACAAGAAAATATATTACGTGTGATCTTTATTTGTTAACATTTTTTAATTAAATTCATAGACGCAAAGCGCCATTTATTTATTTATGAAATTTTATCAACTGGCAACACTACGCTTAGATTAAGTTTTATTTTATTAGAGATTAATAGAGAAACGATTAAGTTTGCTAACAATTCCACTACTTTAAGGAAAAATATAGAAAACTTCGTATGTTTTTCGTATGTGTTACACTTAATTTATAAAAATGGTGACGTCACAGAGATAGTATACTTCATTGTTTTAACGTATTTTTTATACGTACATAACTGTTTATTTTGTCAATAAAATACTTTATTTTGTAATTTTAAAATCAAATATCCAAACAACTCATAATTGGAAGTCTTTATTGTCTGTTTTTCTTTTGTATTAAATGAAACAGCTACTTGCACAGTAGCTAGTCGCAATCGAGGTTGCTGTTACATACATTTAAAATAAGCTTCTTAAGCTTAATGCATATGCTTTTTTATTATAATATTATTATAATAAAAAATATAATAATGTAATAAAAGAAAATATAATATCAAGATAAAACATTTGTATTGATTGGTGAGTAAATTACGTGCTTTAGATTCATAATATGCCAATATTATATCATAAGAAGATATAATATGATGGACTTGATTTTTACTAAATACAGCAGAGAATAAAATAATATAAATTTTTGAATACAAGAAAATTTACGTTACATTATTTATGTACGTGTTATACAATTGACAGACTTCGATAATTTAAAGATAATTTTGTGTAAATACACAAAACATTAAATCCATTAAATAATGAACAATAACTTATGTTGCAGTTATGAGAATATAAATATAAATTATAACAATCGTTAGATATATAAAAATAAGTAAATGAATTATGGCGTCATCTTATGGATATTAGATTTAAGTATAATAAATTGTGATAAACTAGTTCCGCAAAACTCAAAGTGCCTTAATTTTTCATTAAAATGTACAAATATTTGTATTTCAATATGTATGTGTATACGATCTTACCAATTTACACCAAAATGCTTAGAAAGGTATTCGTGGGGTCCTGCCCAACTAAAGTGTCAAGTAAATGCAGAATGTGACTCTGAAGAAGCTCGCCAAACAAAATAAATAATAGTAAAAAAAACTAAAAAAATACGCTTTTATAGAAAATGCAACCAAAAAATTTTAAATAAATTTTAATTAAAAATAGTGTAAGAAAAAAAAGATTGTATTGCAAAAATCGTGGGGTGCTTTTCAAGATAGTATCAAAATAACCCTTCTACTCAGATCTGTTCTTAAAATATTTATAACTACTGATACCATGCACCCCACGCTTTTTTTACAATAAAATCATTTTTTAATTCAAATTTATTAAAATTTATTTTAAATTTTTTAGTAGAATTTTCTATAAAGCGTATTTTGTTAGTTTTTTTAAACTATTATTTATTTTTCATATTTTAGTTGAATTTCAATAATTTTTTTCAATTTTTTTTTACATATTGTATTGTCATCGGTCCTTAATAAGTATATCAAATTTGGAGTTAATCCGACGTTTTGAAGGGGGTCAAATTCATGTTACATATATACGTCTGAAGCTAATAAAATCGTATTAAAACAGTTACATTTATTGTGTAGAAGTTGTCTTCTCAAATAGTATTACGGATTCCAAGTATGTATTTCTAATGCTGCTAGACTGTGTATATGTTTATTAACAAATATTGTTTTATAGAATACATCACTACTGCTGCTTGTTGTGTTTTAATCTCACAATAAACCACAGTGGTTTTCGATTTATTTAAGCAACATTGAGATTAAACTCGAAGGTTTAATTTTTCTATTGGAAAAATACTTTTTGTATTTTTTTTTATTATCCTTAATGCACTAAACAAACGATAATTATACTTCAACTAACTACAAAGAATCAATAGAACAGATTATCTATTGTAATTATTATTTTTTTGTTTACATAATTATTAAACGTAATTGTGATATAATTCAAAGATTGTTTTTACTGAAAGAATATTGTAACAAATAACTTTAATTTACGCTTTTGATTTTATTTTTATTATTAATAGAATATAACAGTTTTTTTATACAAATAATGATATATTATGTGAATGTTTTCAATTAACTAGAAGGAATATACATAATATGTGATGAATTTACAAAAAAATAAATTTTCCGTACCAAGAGATTTTTTTTACTATATTCCTGTGGGTAGATTTTTGTTTTTTTAATAATAAACGAATACGGTTGTGCCAGGCCCCTACAGGGCCTGATGCCCAATTAATTTCCGTGGCCTACTTATCATTCAATAACCTTGCGAAACTGAAGATTTCGTTTTTGGAATTTATTTTTTATTTATTTATTTATGGACTTCAGGTGATCCATTCGCTGTTTCGCTTCGAGTAGTTCCGATTACTAACTGACTGCGTGCCATCGAGAACGAGAACATTCCTCATAAGTCGAGTACCTTCGACCTGACAATAGATGGCGCTGTACTTCTCGAACGTTCTAGATGTTACTAGATACTTCGATATTCGTTCGGCTATTCGGCGATAGATGGCGTTATTCTTACCGGCGTAACAGTATGTACTAGAGGAAGAGGCGTCTAATGCAAGGGACGTGTCTAGGGCGACGACGGTGACTGGCTCCTGTGTAATCAGGATTCGGGGAGTAGTCAGCGGCGGCAACGACAAGGCTATTATTAAATTGAATTTTGAATTGTTGTAAAATTTGTATTAGATGTATCAACCTATTATACATTACATTATTTTTTACACATTTATCTAGCCATGAATTTGGCTAATCAACCTACTGCTTCTTTTGAGCAGAAAAAAAATATGACATCTATTAATTTGGAATCCGTTCCAAGTACTTTAAATTAATTACTAAGACAACAGAGTTTACCTCTTGCAGTAAATATGATTTATTTGGACACAGCCCATCAACAAATAATATTTCTTTGAAAACAACTGTGATCAACCTGGTGCATCAGAACTTACAAGGTTTGATGGGTAAAGAACTTGAAATTGATTTGTTCCTAGATTATAATAAAGTCAATGTTCTATGTGTTACTGAACATTGGCTTAAAAAATATGAATTAAATTGTAATTTTAAAAATCACCAGGTTGTAAGTTCCTTCTGCAGAGAGAATGCTATACGAGGTGGCTCACTGATCATTGTTAATAAAGATTATAAATGTAAGGAACGTAGAGACATTGTGAGCCTCTCTGTGGAACGGATTATTGAAATGGCATGTGTAGAGCTTGAGCGATTCATTGTTGTAAGTGTNACAGCTTTTCAACAAGATCCCACTAAACGTTCAATTACTACCTGTTCATAGATTTAAGAAAACTGTTAAGGAACGTTTGTGCAACAAGGCATATTATAAAGTTAAGGATTATTTACTAGATGGCACTACGTGGGAATGAGGCGCTCGCTCCTGGCCTTTTCATTTTTCATTATTATTATTATTTTTTTAATTGTATTTTTTTGACTTGTTTTTTCTTTTATTGTGAATATTTTTATTTATTTAAAAAAAAGAAAATATTTGAGAAAAAACAAAAAAAAAAAAAGCCCGCTGAGTTTGTTTCGCCGGTTCTTCTCAGGACTGTGGCTTTTTTTGGAACCGGTGGTAGAGTTAACATTGTTATTTGTATTTTGACATTCAACAAGTGTGTCATACTGACATCTAAGTTGAAATAAATGATTTTGAATTTGAATTTGAATTTGAATTAAAATAAAAAAATCTTTCAAAGCACTGATTAAACAGATTAAAATGTGTAGTGTGAATCATAAGATATCATATCATTCCTTTATAGCCCAGAACATCAGCTAAGTATATTTTTTAATTTTATACTTGTTTACGAGGTCGTTAAGGTTACGTTACGACCACAAGTCAATAAAATTATCAAAACCCGCAAATAACTAATGAAAACTAAGTTATAACTCCGCCTAGTGCAATTAATTTTCGATCATAAGGTTATCTTGGTTTTGTACCAGTTAGTCTTCATTGTGCATTGTATTGCGCTGACAGCATGTTTGTTGTTCTACTTCTGTCTCTTATTATTCTTTGTACTGCAAACAAACGAAGTTTCGAAGACAAAAATGCGGAATTCCAACATTTGGTTGTGGATGGAAACAGTGGTCACGTTTTTATTGGAGCTGTGAATAAGGTTTATGAGTTATCTGAAGATTTAGCGATCGAAAAGTGGATTCCAACCGGACCTCTAAATAAGACCGATGATAAATTAACTGATAATGTTAATAAAGTGTTGATTCTTGATGCCTCAGGTCGATTGATCACTTGTGGATCAGCGCTTGGTATCTGCTCAATTCGGAACATAACTAATATCTACATCGGTTGTGATGTTCCCATTACCGTTGTTTCTGACGAAGAGAAAGTTTCAACTGTAGCATTTCTAGGAGCCGGTCCCTTAAGTTCCAATCGTTCTACACGAATCCTGTACTTAGCACCTGAAGTAAAATACAATAACGACATCCCTTCAATAACCGGTCGATTGTTGGATAATAGGAATGATTTTGAAATAGCCAAAGTATTATCGGAACATAATGAAATCAACCAAGTTAAGGGAGCAAACATACACAATAATTACTTGTATGCAAAAGATAACAATGTTAACTATGTATATGGTTTTAGTAGTGGAATATACAGTTATTTTTTGAAGACGCAGAAAAAAGAAGATGGCGATTATCACAGTGTTATAGCTCGGGTATGTCAAGATGACGAAAATTATTATAATTCGTACACCGAAATACCCATAACATGCAAGAATACAGATAATACTTCTTACAATCTGGCNTACTTGTATGCAAAAGATAACAATGTTAACTATGTATATGGTTTTAGTAGTGGAATATACAGTTATTTTTTGAAGACGCAGAAAAAAGAAGATGGCGATTATCACAGTGTTATAGCTCGGGTATGTCAAGATGACGAAAATTATTATAATTCGTACACCGAAATACCCATAACATGCAAGAATACAGATAATACTTCTTACAATCTGGCACAGACAGGGTTTGTTCAGAAAGCTGCTGGTTTTTTAGCCCAGTCTTTGGAAATATCTAGCAACGATGACGTTCTCTACGCCGCATTTTGCCCTGGTAATGAAAAATCGTCATCTCCTTTAGAAAAATCAGTGTTATGTGTTTTTTCCCTTCAGAATATCCGTAAAAAGTTTGCCGAAAATATTAAAAATTGCTTTAACGGTAATGCAATGAGAAGTATTGGACTAAAGAAACCAGAATCGTGTCTTAAAACTGATTTACAAACAGACTATGAAGACGTTTGTGGTTTAGGTGTAAATGTACCGCTTGATGGTAGAATTCCCTTAGAAGGAAATGCCCTAATATACTTTGCTGATAAAGTTTCAGCTTTAGTTGCAACAAATGTTCGAGATCACAGTGTTATTATTGCTGGCACTGCGAATGGCCATTTAAGAAAAGTAATTGCCGATAACACAACTCTTGGTGTCGAATACCGGGACATCATAGTCCACGAAAGTCACCCCATTATGAAAGATCTTACCTTCAGTCACAATGATGAGCACTTATACGCATTAACCAAGCACAAAGTTTTTAAGATACCAATTCAAGAGTGCAGTGATTATAAGTCATACGCCGAATGCTTTCAGGACATTTATTGTGGATGGTGTTCACCTAAACAAAAGTGTACTATTGAATCGGACTGCAAGTATGCTCATTATAAAGACCCACATTTTTGGATATCTTCGGACAGTAAATTTCAGGCGGTGATTACTGAAGTTAAACCTAATAATATATTTATTACATCAGAAACGTTACTGACGGTCAAAATAGAGAATGTCGTTAACTTAATCGATCAGATGTTTTGCAATTTTGTCCTTGATGGTGTGTCTTATGTTACAAATGGAACACAAATTGAAAAAGGTACTCAGTGTAAAACTCCAATATTTAATTCGAATAAAACTTATGGTCGCGGTCTCGATCCTATTCCTATTAAATTGTTGATTCAAAATTCATTAACAGAACCGGCTTTTGCAGGGACGATAGTGAATTTTCTTGATTGTAACACGTATTCCTCGTGCACTGAATGTATAGAAAAAACTGTTTGTAAATGGTGTCTGATTGCCAATCTATGCACTCGTGAAGTCAATAATGAATGCATGGAAGATTCTTTGTTTCGTTCAGATAGAAATAAAAGTCAAGATTTTTGTCCTGCAATAATTTCGACGAACGATCAAGAAAAGTACATTCATTCCGGCGAAACAGTTGGTATATATATGAAGGTACGTTTAGTGGATTCTTTTCTCATACAGTCCAGATTTATCTGCAAGTTTCGTGTAGAAAACGGAAAGACGACAACTGCAAACGCACGACTGTTGGGGGACACGCTATACTGCGATCGGGTTAAGTTTGAATACACATCGAATGCTCCAGAAACAACAGTGTCCGTCGACGTAATCTGGGGCGGTTCAAACTTCAAAGCAATTAGATAACCCGGGGAAGAAACATTTCGTTCTGTACAAATGCGATAAAATGGAGAATAATCTAGATACTTGTAATAAGGTACCGAAACAATACGACTGTAAATGGTGTGCGAAATACAATAGTTGTCAGTTTCAAGATTTTTGTTGATATTCTGATTTTTATTGATCTCATCATGAATGTCATTATGAACCAAAATGATTTATGGTTTACTTATACTATCTTAATTTCAATGCGGAAATAAAAATCATTTCAAATATGTACCTGATTTATTACTAAAAGCAATAAATAGATAAAACGTAGAATTTATCAATAAAATTAACAAAAAGAACTAACATTACACATATTACATTTGGCATCACAGTACTTCGAACAATACAAAACAGTATGTAGATATTTTCAAAGCGTCANTTTATGGTTTACTTATACTATCTTAATTTCAATGCGGAAATAAAAATCATTTCAAATATGTACCTGATTTATTACTAAAAGCAATAAATAGATAAAACGTAGAATTTATCAATAAAATTAACAAAAAGAACTAACATTACACATATTACATTTGGCATCACAGTACTTCGAACAATACAAAACAGTATGTAGATATTTTCAAAGCGTCATTACGTCTAAGTGATTTCAGATTATAAAAGGTAACAAATTAAACATATCAAACTATTCTGACGTCAGAAGAAATTCTTAGAAATGCAGTGGGACTATGTTGAAGGCAAACAATATACCAGTTTATATGAGCTTGTAAACACAAAAGTATCCTTAAAAGCAGTCTAAAGCTTATTCTTCGTAAAACCGAAAAGTAGAAAACAAACAAAATTAAACCTTCATGATGTACAGTCAGAGACATTTGAAAACCCAATAAAATATTTTATATCAGTTACGTGTTTTGGAAATATCTTCAATGTACAGAGAAACCTGACCCTATAATGTGTATTGTATGGATCCTATATGGATAGAGAGTAGATTCCTGTTCTCATTTCCGCGGGAGATGTCCCGGTTTTGGAAACATTTATTAGGAGTAACAGACATTACTCCTTCGTTTTGTTTACTTTATTTATTTTAATTAAAGAAAGTATTTGTTTTCGATTCCAGCGCCCATCACAAATTTATCTTCAACCAAATGTTATTGAATACAATAAATCCAAGTAGGTGAAAATGAATTTCAATCAATCAATCTTGAATTAATTTTCGTCATTAATCTTCAATTAAATATTATCAAATATAAAAAAAACTAATAATAGTTAGCGAAAATGAATTTTGCTTTTATTACGCAGGTAATAACGTAATACGCAAATTTTAGGGAAAATATCTACAAACCAATTTAACACATTCATAATTGCAAAAACTTCACAGTGTTAAAAATTTGAGTGTCACTAAATACACCATACAAGGAAGAGTGTAGATGAATTACAACATTTATCTAATAATTAGCATTAGATTTCCAAATATTCCACAGATAAACAAACAATTACGAAAAATGTAAAATATTGAAAATTCTCAATTTTATAAATCTACATTATCATGTTACTTTATCAACATTTTTGTCTTTGACATCTGTTAATATTTGAGACCTGGACATGTTAGTGTATGTTAGTTGTCCATATCTTTTAACACATCCGTAAACTTCAAATTGACGAATCAATTAGTTTTAATAATTAATTTTCAAGAAACGGTGGGAGTATAATAATTAAAATTGTACTTATAATATTTATGAACTTTTGAAAGCACCTTTCATGTACTATAAAATGTAGCGATAACCTATAAGAATTCGATTAGATCGCAATCATATAGACAGTTAATTTGGATAATTTAATTCGGTTAAAACAACCGATCTGCTATGACATCAATTTCTTTCTACAGACAAACCACATTTTAACCTTTAAAAAAACACGTAGGGTTTACAAGATTGATTATGAATTCACTCTGATGTGATTTGAACAGTATTAAAATTTAACACAGGGTCTTCGTTCAAAATGCACCACCAAATATTACGAGACGTAATCGCATATTCATCACTTAAACTAGAACGTTCTAAGCAAGACGAATAAAATATTAAAAACTAAATCACGTTTCTTGAAGATGCGTTGATTTCAAAATTTACGCCGCAGTTTCGAGAAGAAGCTGTAAATAAATGGATAGCAAAAAGCAACGATTATAAGGGGAGAAGAACCAAAAAGGACAAAAAAGTATAATTTAAGTTACAAATACAAAAAAAAAAAAACATACAATAAAACATTTAAATTAAAATGTGCAATTAATAAACTTACCTTAAATGAAATGTGCTATTTTGTGCGAACTTTGATTCGTGTGTCGGTCGGCCGAGACTGCATCAAATTGCAAGACAGTACTTTTTTTTTTTTTTTGCTTATATCGGTGGACGAGCTCACAGCCCACCTGGTGTTAAGTGGTTACTGGAGCCCATAGACATCCACAACGTAAATGCGCCACCCACCTTGAGATACAAGTTCTAAGGTCTCATGTATACTTAACTCTTAATTGGGAAAATTACATCATTGGATTGTACAATACATTTTTGATTCATAGAGTTCTTTTAGTTTTATCATTAATTTAATTCATTTGTTTCATACGTCAATGATTGTACTCTTGTACGCCGATCGATAAGCCATTAAGCATAACAAGTCTAATAAAACTCAAAATTAAAAGCATTCAATATTTTTTGCTAAAAATCAACCAATTTTAAGCACGCTTTCATAAGCATCAGCGGTAGGCGACGGCTTGGCTCTGCCCCTGGCATTGCTGAAGTCCATGGGCGACGGTAACCACTCACCATCAGGTGGGCCGTATGCTCGTCTGCCTACAAGGGCAATAAAAAAAAGAAGCTTTCAGAGGGTTTCACGGCAGTTACAGATACAAGATTGTCTATATAGTTAAGCATTCTGAAGCAGCCCTAACCAGATGTTAATGCAGAACGCATGAAAGTGACAAGTGAATTGACGTGCCAGGTGAAGAAAATTAACATGCGGCTTATGATGTAATGACTAGTTTACAATTTTTTTTATTAAAGTTTCATTTATACAATACTCGCTGATTTTATTTCGATTTGATAATGTGCTTCAAATTGTATTACTATAGTATATAGAGGTAGAGGCAAAAAGCTGCACAACTCCGAAAAGATTCACATCCAAAACTACTTTATATTGCAAAACATTGGCAAAGAAAAATAAAATAAAAACGCAAAATATTTCGAGAACTTTCTCATATAATATCTTACATTTAATAACTTACAGAGAGACTTCACAAGCAACAAAGCGCCGTGTTAAATAAAATATATTTATTTATATATCAGTAGTTCACATTAAACTAATCAACTTTTTTTTTTGTATCGATACTTTTAATCGATGTTATGATTGCACATCTCTAAAGTAAATTAGTTTAATGTGAATCGGAAATGCTTTTCAACGATCTATAAAGAGTTTGCCGCCTTTGTGACATGAATCAAGAATCAAGCAATCAAATAAAATATATTCGCATTCGATTATAAGGTACAATAAATACGCTAGCAGATCTATGTGGTAAGACATTTAAAATTCCAAACAGCTTTAGCCTAAACTATTCCAAGCAAATTATAAACATCGATTACGTAAAAAATAGTAATAATATCGATTAATATATGTTTTTCGTAAATGTCAAAATGCTTTTGTTTGATTTTTAATTAACATCTCGTTAAATTCTATGAGAATTGAATTATACACAATCATCTTTACGAGGCAAGATTAAAGACAAATAATTAACTTCGTTAAAATATCTCGTATAAATTATAACAATGTATATAAAATCTCGCTGATTTAAAATTTAAAAAAGAAAACTTCAAATAACATCGAATAGAAAAAAAAAAGATTTCTAAGAAATCTAGTTAAATATTAGTCAAGAATTAAAATATTTGACGCGTAAATACTCGTTTTTGTACTTAATAGTACTTAGCGTACGACAAACTCAATAGTATGTAATTATTTCTTATACACATAATAAATCCTTTAAGATCCACTGGAACACAGATTCAACATTTACATTGTATCGCAAACAAAACGATATTTTCAAAATTTAATAAAAAAAAAATGTGTAATTAAATATTTGAATTCGATTCTCTCCTTATATAAACATTACGAGATCACTAAATTGTATCTCGAGGGTTGTTTTATCATTCGTAATTTAATCGAGACGTTTTTAATGTAATCGATTTGTTTATTTGTTCGATTAAATCGATACGCGACTTTTAATGTAATCGATTTGTTTATTTATTCGATTGAATCGATACGCGACTTTTAATGTAATCGATTTGTTTATTTATTCGATTAAATCGATACGCGACTGCCTCGTGCACGACCCTCGAGTTCAGTTTTTGTTTTCACAGTTGTAAACAATCGGATCGTTTCGTAAATAGCAACAACGTTAATAAATAGTAAAACTAAAAAACTATATGGTACATTGTTTTTCTGCGTTCGACGTTCGTTCGCTGAGAATTATTTCTTCCGCTTTAGCTTCGGTATTCTGCAATGGTGCGGGTGATGTTAGTGCAACATCCGTGAACATAATGAAAATGTGAAACATTTCTATATATACCAAGGAAGGAAAGGGTATTTGGTTTAAGCGATATTTTGCAACTTTTATTTTTATTGCTTAGATGAGTAGACGAGCTCACAGCCTGGTGTTAAGTGAGCCCATAGACATTTACAACGTAAATGCGCCACCCACCTTGAGATGTTCTAAGGTCTCAGTATAGTTACAACGGCTGCTCCGCCCTTTAAACCGAAACGCACTACTGCTTCACGGCAGAAATAGGCGGGGTGGTGGTACCTACCCGTGCGGACTCACAAGATATCCTACAACCAGTAAAAACTACACTTACTCTAGAGTAGTGCCATTGAAAGTTTAAAATTTGGAAAAAAAAAAATCAACAAAAATAACTTCTTCAGCTGTTTGAATGGAGTAAACTGAATTGAGGCTCAATTAAAAACATCGAACTGTTGATGCTTAATTAATACTAAATAAAATGCACTTTTAATTACAAAAATAAATGAAGCTTATTAAGCGAAATGTCACTTAAACCAAATAGCCTTCACCTATATATACTCATCAAGATAATAATATATTGACCCTAAAAAACGAGTAAGCGTGTATTAAGGTTGTAAATGTTTCACAATTTCAATAATGATGTGATAATGTGAAGTTAAATTTGCAAATATTATTGTATATCTCGTCCGATCTCGATGTGTCCATCATAGGCACCATAATAGGACCCGGTGCTCTCGTGCTATTATTTACAATTGTATACATGTTTATAACATACCATTAATGTGATATTCACAACACCGTCGTGATTTGTCTACTGACGCTGATCGATTACACTTTTATCGATATTTTTCTATGAGTATACATAATATGGAAAGAATTGTGGACAATTTGTGGTAAGTTAACAAATTGCCTTTGTTCTAAAACCGGAATTTAATTACGAAAGTGTCACTCCGATCCGCCTCGGCAGAAGTTATTACTGTGGTTTGTACTTAGAGTGTACATAAGTAAGCTTGCTTATGTATACTCTAAAGGTTTGTATGGGGAGTCACCGGAGGCGGTACTTACCCGGAACTCTTCTTGTGTTGTGATGACTGCGCTTTCTCAGACTCCAGTAGTTTTGTGCTCGAATCTTTCATGAATCCTAAAACGTTAACATTGTTTTAATTAACGTAATTAAAGTTTCCGTAACTTTATATTTTCGAAGATAAATAATACTAGCGAACCCGCCTTCGCTTCGCTTCGGAAACTGTGATTTATTATTGATTTTTCCACTATGTAATGGGTGTTATTATACTTAAAAACCTTCCTCTTCAATCACTCTATCTATTAAAAAAAACCGCATCAAAATCCGTTGCGTAGTTTTAAAGATTTAAGCATACACAGGGACAGACAGATATAGGGACAGAGAAAGCGACTTTGTTTTATACTATGTAGTGATGTAACGAGATACTAAGCAAAGAAAGTATCGAATTCGTCGTGGCTTAAAGGCTAAGACGCCCGGTGCATTCGTGTCGAGCGATGCAATGGTGGTCTGACATACGTACTTAGCAAATGTTTACGATTAACTTCCACGATGAAGAATAGCATCGTGTTATAAATAAAAAAATATAATTTGCGTAAACTCAGATGGTAGAACGTATTCACCCTGCGTATTTCTGTCGTCAACCGGGGTACCCGTTGTTCTGTTAAAACTGTGACCTTACAGCTCATGGTTCGAAGTGGGTAACGGCATTTACGTTGTAGATGTCTATGGGCTCCGGTTACCCCTTAACACCAGGTGGGCCGTGAGCTCGTCCAACCATTTAAACAAAAAACATATTATAATATTTCTAGAGTACCTTTTCCGGAGGAGCCAAAGACGGAATTGCCCAGATTGTTGAGACTGCTCGTGAAACTATCAGCTTCCTTGGTCAACGAGTCCGCCACGGCTTGTTCTGTCTGTTTCACTTCCCCCTTCACCTCCTCCCCAACCTCGCCGAGCCTCTCGCCCGCCTCTTCTAGCCTATTTTTAGCTAGACCCTTTACATCTTCAAGTTTATTGTCGGCGGATACTTGGAAGCCTTCAAAAGATTCCTTTACGTTTCCGAACAGCTCTTCAGAGCCTTGTCGGACGTTGGAAGCGGCTGACTGAGCTCCTCCGAAGACTTCTTTAACGGAATCATCGAGACTGTCGAAGGTATCTCCAGCCGAACTTTGGAAGCTGCGCAGGGTGTCCTGTGTTGAGGTGCCCACGCTATCCCGGATATCAGCAAACGTATCACGAGTGGAACTCTGCAAGTTTTCCCATGTGTCTGTCGCTTCGTTCATCTTATCCTTAGTTGAACTTTCGACCTTATCGAAAGTGCTTAAGGCAGAATCTTGCACGCGACCGAGCGCCTGTTTGGACGACTGTTGTAAGTTCTCGAGCTCGTCTCTGCCCGCGTCGGAGATGTCGTTGACTTGACGTCTGACGTTAGTTTGGAATTCAGCTCGTTTGTTTGCGGCGGCGTTTAACGTGTCCTCGGCGGACTTCTTTATCTCGTCTGTCGTTTTTTCAGCTTCCCGTCTTATTTGGTCCAGCTCGCTCTGTGTAGCGCCGGTCGCTTTGTTCGCTTGGTCACGAATGCCTTGTTGTATTTCGTCTTTCTTGTTGACTATTGCAGTGCCTACTGCCTGGGTTGTATCTTTCACGGCTAGAATAGATTCGTTTGCTTTTTCCTGTATAGTATTTTTGATGTCCCCTGCTTTATCGTGGACGGCTTCTTTTACTTCACCTGCAGCGTCATAGACTGTATCTTTAAACGCTACGCTTTTAGCGACGGCTGCGTTTTTAATGTCGCTTGTCTTTTCACATACCGCGTCGGTGAGTTCGCTTCCTTTATTGTGAATTTCATTGACCTTGGATTCTACAGCACCTTTAATTTCACTAGTTCTATCTTCTATGNCTTGTCTTTTCACATACCGCGTCGGTGAGTTCGCTTCCTTTATTGTGAATTTCATTGACCTTGGATTCTACAGCACCTTTAATTTCACTAGTTCTATCTTCTATGCTAGTTTTAGCAGAGTTAGCCCCGTCTTGTATTTGACGCATAGCACCGTGTGCGGCATCTTTAGCATCAGCCGCAATGGATTGCGCAGTTTCTTTCAGTTCATCTGCTTTGTTCGCTGCGGCAGATTTAACATCATTTGTTTTGTGTTCGATAGTATTTATGGTTTCATTGGCCTTGTCGTCAATTGCACTTTTAGCTTCCGAGGCTTTCGCGAAAGCAGCGTCTTTAGCATCATCAATGGCACCTTTAATCTGTTCAGTTTTATTGTTTACGGCATCTTTCGTTTTTGTGACTTTGTCCTGAATGGCATTTTTGGCATCTTTCGTTTTGTCTACCACGGCAGTCTGAATTTCATTAGTTTTATCCTTAACAGTGGATTCGGTTTCGCGAATGGCTTCTTCGGCAGCTTTTTTAGCTTTGTCGGTTTCATCGTGAATTGATTTTTCAACAGAATCTTTCGTGTCCTTCAATGCTTTAGCTGCTTCAGCAGTTTTCTCCTGAGCACCTTTAACAACAGATTTAGCATCTTCAGTGACTTCATGTTGTTTTTTGGCAATATCTTCAGAGAGTTCATCTTTTTTAGCAGTAGCTTGGTTTAATAAATCGTTTGCGGAATCCTTTCCTTCCGAGATTTTTCCTTTAATTTCGTCTTCAATTTTCTCCTTTTCCCCAAAAATGTTATGGACGAGCCCAGTAAAGAAGTTCTTTCCTTGTTTAGATTTTTTTTTACCTTCTTTTTTAATATCTTCTTTAGCTGCCTTTGCATCAGCTTTAAGATCTTCTGTGGCCTTTTTACCTTTTTCTTTTGCGCCTTCAAATGAGTCGCCCAAAGATTGAAGTTTTCCTTTAGTCGCATCCTTCACTTTTTCAACTGTTTCTTTAACATTTTCTTTAGTATCAATGGCTTTGTTACACAGATCATCCTGCAGATCGTGGACAGTATCAACGACTGCAGCTGATGTTTTCTTAACTTCGACTTTGATATCACTCTCAGCTTCATTCTTCTTGTGTATCAGATCATCAGAGGCTTCTTTTAATTTCTTTTCTGCTTCTTTGGCTATTTCCATTTCTCGAACTCTATGCTCTTCAGCCTGCTCTCTAGCCAGAAAATCTATAGCCAGTTCCTTCATTTTAGCTTTATCTTTTACAATCCCTGCAGGTAATGTAAAACTATTTATGGCGTTTTTCGTAGCTTCCTTCGCGTCTTTAGCCTCTTCCACTAAATTGTCTTTAACGTCAGTTACTTTAGTACTAATATCATCTTTGATTTTATTGCCTGCATCTGTAACCTGGTGCAATTTATTCTTCGCGGAATCTCCCGATTCTTCTATCTTATCTTGGGCGCTAGTTTTCAATTCTTCTCCTTTTTGTTCCAAATTATCTTTGATATGATCAAGTTTCCCTATTTGGTCGTTAACTGCGTCGCCAACTTTTTGCTTGATATTATCTTGTTCTTTTTCCAACTTATCAAGACCTTCTGCCAGTTCGTTGTTGATCTCATGTTTTGCGAAATTAACTTGCTCGATTCTATCGACCACATTGGAGGTTTCATCGTGCCGATGTTTTTGTCCCTTCTTGAACCTTCCCTCGCAGCAGCCTACATAGAACTGGAACGGGTCTGTCTTTTTGTACTGCACAGGAGTGTCGACAGGTTGCATATTAGCGTATTGTTCGTACAAATCTTCTTGGATATCCTGAAGAGGTGGCTTCTCATCTTCGTCGACTACTAGTTTAGTAGTATAAACGTTATCGGTGAGGTCTTCGTCATCTTTCTGCTGCGGCTTCTTCTGTAAGTCTTTGAACATATCATCGACTTTGCCGAGTAACTCCTCGTTTATAATTCTGGGTGCTGGCTTCGGTGGGCTTTTGTCTTTGGGCTCGCGAGGTTTTGGTTGAGGTTTCGGTGAGGATTCCTTATCTTCATCATCCTTTTCTTCGCTGTGACTGAACACGTTCTTCACTTTGTCAGCCAAGCCGCCAAGGAAGCTAGTTTCAGGTTTCTTCTTGCCTTTCTCGAGGGTGTTCTGTGGAGTTTTGTCCTCGTCGGAATCAAAAGTTGCCTTTACTTTGTTTGAGTCAACATGTAAGGTTCCACCGTTAACTGTAAAATCAAATACGATTATTTATATTTGAATTTTTTACATTGATCGAAGCTGAATTGTAATTATATTATTACTCACGTTGTGGTTTTGGATCGATAATGTCTTCATCTTTCGTGTATTTGATATTGCCGTTTGTAATAATTAAGTCCTAGAAAAAAAAGAAAATTAAAATAGACCTTTTTCGATTCCAAATAAATGTGTTTAAGTATTATTGTCCGGGATCACTCACGTGGCCGTTGAGTTGTTTGTCTCGCGCACAGGGTGAGGACCCTGGCCCGGTGCTGTGGTTGTGCTCGCCCCAGTGGAAACTGAGCTCATCCTTCAGCGCGTCGAAGCCTGCAACGTTTTCCAAATAAACAAGTCAAACAAGTTTAGGTAGGTACCACCACCCTGCCTATTTCTGCCATGAAGCAGTAATGCGTTTCGGCTTGAAGATTGGGGCAGCCGTTGTAGCTATACCTTAGAGCTTATATCTCAAGGTGGGTGGCGCATTTACGTTGTAGATGTCTATGGGCTCCAGTAACTATTTAACACCAGATGGGCTGTGAGCCCATCCACCCATCTAAGCAATGAATAAAAGCAAATTACGACAAAAAGTTCCTTTAGATTTTACCACGTAAACGGTTAATTTGTGTAAAGAAGAAATAAAATAAAAAATATAGACAATTATCGTATTTATAAATTAATCACTCATATCAACAAGATTTATCCAAGTACTTCTCCGTTTGATTAAGCTCCACTTCGTGTCAAAGTTCCGATTAAATTTATACCATGACATTTTAGAAAAAATGATGGCGTGTTAGAACGGCGGCACTTCTTCTCGTCCCTTGGGCGTCATTAAAGGCGACTGTTAATCGGACAGTGGACAGCAGCACTCTATATTAACATAAGAATGTATCGGTGCGTACCGGACTGGTCCAGGTTGAGGTAGTCGAGCTGGCTCTTGGCTCTGGGCGCGACGCGCTCCGGGAGCTCCACGTCCAGCACGCACGCCGGCGCCTGCGACTGCTCACCCTTCGGCACCTGGAACACGAACCATATCATTACCGTTATCCGCAGCTTCTCAGCCGACCATATTTAAACGCGAACCGTCGTTAAATCGACTCTCTACTATAAAGTCCCATGAGACAGACGTTATTATTATGTTTTATTTATTTAGTTATTGCTTAGATGGGTGGACGACCTCACAGCCCACCTGATGTTAAGTGGTTACTGGAGCCCATAGACATCTACAACGCAAATGCGCCACCCAACTTGAGATATAAGTTCTAAGGTCTTAGTATAGTTACGACGGCTGCCCCGCCCTTCAAACCGAAACGCATTACTGCTTCACGGCAGAAATAGGCAGGGTGGTGGTACCCACCCGCGCGGACTCACAAGAGGTCCTACCACCAGTATTTTATTGTGTGTGTATCATATAGATTGATGTTGTATTTTTTTAAATGTTGTTTACGACCATATATAAAATATGATTATTATTTCAAATTATGCGAAAAGTGAACGTGAGTTACGTTCTAATAAGTGTCAAAAGGGACTTCGTAATCGGAATAGAGTTATAGTACGTATGACGTGCGGAGCGTCGGTATACCGACCATTATATTACCGTTATTAACCGTTATTGATTATCGAACTGTACTTAAGTGTCTTAGCGGACAAATGTATAACGTTTTTAATAAGTTAATAGCACTTATATAATATAACCATTTGGAGGAGGCCTTTACCCAATCCGGGGTTCTTGCTAACTAAATCTTACAACAACTTTTTAATTACAAAAATCTTTTATTTTGCATCCTAAATATTAATACATACATTTATATTTATTTGTTCTTAAAACTTTGTAAAAATAAGAAATAAATGGCGTATTTATTTATTTTATATATAACCATAATATATTTCGCTGTGTATGTAGCATTGATTTTTAAATTAAAGTTTTAATTAAGTAAAGAGGTTTTTTTTTCTACATTTTCTAGGAATTTCTGCAAAATATATGAAAATAAGCTCAACACTAAAAGGGTTAAATGTCTGAATTTGTCTAAAAACCAGTTCGTAACAAACCTTGGGTTCATTCATGAAATAGATCCTGCCGGATGGATTTTCCTCGCGATGTTTGACGCGCACCGTGAATTCTGCTCTGTTATCTTTGAAAGCCTGAAAACAAATGCGATTTGTAAAGAATATTTATTTGCTAATACTATTCGCGCGCCACTTATTGGACGCTGATGGTGGTATGTCGAAAACCACCCCTCCAAGGTCTACAGCCAATGCACCAAGTTCAAAGTACTTAATATACTTTGTCAAGACTGTTGGCATTCGTAAGTATTTTTTATTTTTTTATTTTATTTATTGAGTAACATAATACATCAGCACAGAAAATTACAGGCATCATATAAATTGATTTCACACTAAATGCTAACACAATTACATGTACCGACTGCATTCATTGATAAAAAAAAACAGTATATTATAACAACAAAATAGAAACTAGCCAAACTGGCCAAGCTTCGTCCTACGTGTGGCAATCTAATTTTGTTTGTATAGTACTCTATTATCAACAGTCGAAGTCTTCGTGGTCTGAAAGATAAAACGACCGGTACATTCGTATCGAGCGGTGCAAATGTGCCAGTGTTCTGTGAATCTCCCAGACAGGTACTAATTTTTGTAATCAAATACCTACTTAAGATGTGTTCCGAAACCACATCACATAACTAGTTTAGCTTTTATCTAAGAATGTTTCGATACGTCTAAAAAAAACTTAAATATTACCATGTCAAGTTATTTTTCTAGTGATCTATGCAAAAAAAAGGAACATCAGACATGTGAGTCGACTATTATCAAAGCCGGCAATCTGACTTTTGGACAATGATTGGTAAATCAGAAAAACGAATTATTGACTTTGTATTCCATTGGCAGTCACAAAACTCTTCGGAACGACATCTTAGATAAATAACAGGTTAAGTATTAACCTTTATTTAATGCAGGTTTTGAACCGTATTCTTTGAAGGAGACGATTATATTCAAATCAATCTGTATTGACATATCAATAAAATTTTTTGGTCCAAATGCACAGATTGCCACCTTTGATAATAGACGACTCATGTCTTAGAATCAATTTTATTAATCTGTAAATGTATGTTAACTGTAAATTTCTACTGCACTCGCGTTTTTGGAATTTAACACAACTTATTAACCTATATTTCATATTCAATTGAGTTAATAATGAGCTCCCCTCCACGGTGTTTCCCGAGTGCTATGACATGTCCTTCTTTAAAAGAGGCTTGTGGAGAGTATTAAGCGGTAGGCAGCGGCTTGGCTCTGCCCCTGGCATTGCTGAAGTCCATGGGCGACGGTAACCACTCACCATCAGGTGGGCCGTATGCTCGTCTGCCTATAAGGGCAATAAAAAAAAACAATTCTTCAGAGCACTCCCTGCTGTGTGAAGTGCTGAATTAGTACAGGATATAGGGGTATAGTTTATTCACCTCGAAGGTCAGCATGGGCTGAGTGCCCGACTTGGTGACGGGGACCAGGTTCCCGGAGAACTCCAGGTACACTTCCTTCCCGTCGAGCAGCCGGACGCTGGTGGAGTGGGCCACCTCCGTGTAGTGCTCCTGTACACGAATACAAATTACATTAGAGGAAATCATTTACTATATGAGTCGTTTGCAACGGGCAATGGTGGATTTACACTAGGGGCAGTCGGGGAAAGTGCCCAAGGCGGCAAATTTTTGAAAGTGAAAAAAAATTTTTTTTGCCTTATCTAGATTGCTCAGTATAATTAATTAATTCTATTTATTAACAATTTTCTGTTTAATTGATAATTCAATAAATTCAATTCATCCATTATTATTTGTGAATTATAATTTTGGCACTTTTGGTAAAAAAATTATAATCAAAATGATTTAATCAATTTATTTCCTTGGAGATTTAAAATAAGAATAGTTTTACTATTTTCTGGAATTAAAGATTTTTTAAATTATTTTTTTATTGATGTAATATAATTACGAGTCAGCCTTAGTACCAAATTTATAATTGTTAGAAAAAGAAACAAATATTTATTTATGTTTTTGGAATATATAACGTATAATAAAGTTTCTGCAATAAATTCGTTATTTCAATTTGAAAAATAAAATATAATATATAATAAGTTTAAGTAAAATTCCAGTATTGGGGTAGATCTTTCTCCAGAGAGATAGTGGAGGCGGCTGCTTGAAGATGCTAGCCGTACCTGCTGCAGTAAGGTTTCATAGGCGTATCTGTCTGTGATGGTCATGACTAGGAGCCGGCCCTCGAGCGGGTCCAGCCGCTTGCCGAGCACCACGATGCGAACGTCAAATGGCACCAACAACATTTCCCTGTAATATTTTCGTTGATATTACTCATCTATACTAATATATAAAAGTAGAGTGGTTTTTACGGATGTTCCGTTATAACTACTGAACCGTGCATCCGATTGACTTGGAACTTGGTATCCATGTAGAAAATACATGTACTTAATGAATAGGCTAATATTTGTATCAGTGCTGGATTCCCTACGCCAGTTGCGGGGGCGTTAATTATGAGAATCTTTGTGGGGGTGAGAAATAATAATGTTAATTTTAAGTGCCCAGCGAAGCGGACGGGCACAGCTAGTTTAAATTATAAGACAGAAATTGTATCTTTACGTTATTATTAAATTGAATCCTTGAGCAATTGCTGTTGCGTAATAAAATCGATCAGGCTCAGTCCAGTTTTGCATACTCGCGCGGCATCTGTCGCACGATGGTAGTACCATGACACGAACCAATACACACACACACACACACGCACACGCACACGCACGCATGTACCCACGCACGCACGCACGCACACGCACACTCAGATACACGAACACACACACACATGTCGATTATTATTTATATCTAAAATAGATCACCTGTATAAGTCAGTGGCGAGTTTGGTAGCGTCGTTCACGTTCTGGCAGTTCATCAACCAAAATCTGTAAGGTAAAACTTGAATGTAAAATTCATATATAGCATTATTTTTTACTAAAGAAAAAAAAGGGATTAAATTCAAAACAATAATTAAAATACAGTATTGTCCTTGTACATATTATGTCGCGAGTCCTAAACGTAATTAAAACTACTCTTGCGGTTTAATCTCGTGTTTTTTTTGTTCTCATTATATCATTTTCGATGTTTTGCAAGCTTTACAGTTTTCTTGGTCACGGACGACTAAAATACGACGGAAACAATATAATAACAATAAAGAACGATTAAACCGTAAAAGTAGCTTTAAACTAAAATACTCAAACAAAAATATTAAATCGAAACAATTGTTATAAGTCGAATATTACTGCAAATTATTCTTAGGTTACAAATCGAAGTAAACGATCATGTGTATGTATGTATGTGTATGTGTTACAAATAGAAAGTAAACGATTAAGTGTGTATGTGTGTTTAATGAGGGTTGTATTTATAAATAGAACATTACTGCGAATCATTCTTAAGATACAAATTGAAGTGTTTACTTTTTTGTCGTTTTACGTTACGTTTCGATCGTTTGAACATGTGTATGTATTTTGACTAGTGGTAGGACCTCTTGTGAGTCCGCGCGGGTAGGTACCACCACCCTGCCTATTTCTGCCGTGAAGCAGTAATGCGTTTCGGTTTGAAGGGTGGGGCAGCCGTTGTAACTGTACTGAGACCTTAGAACTTATGTCTCAAGGTGGGTGGCGCATTTACGTTGTAGATGTCTATGGACTCCAACCAGGTGGGCTGTGAGCTCGTCCACCCATCTAAGCAATAAAAAAAAGTATGCTTAATGAGGGTTGTACCTGGCGGAGACGGTGGTGGTGAAGGAGGCGCAGTCGTCGGTGATGGTGAGCGGCGTGGAGCCGGTAACGTCCTCCCACACGGCGCGCGCCTGCCCGCCCATGATGGAGCACAGCAGCCGCAAGTTGGAGGTCGACGGCTTCTCATGCCCATCCTGCAGACGCAACAGACTCTCTTACTGCCCGAGGTTCGAGATTGGGTGGATGGCATCCCAACACGTTTTTTTTTTTTGAAGTGAATCTTCTTTAGTGTCGTTCTGAATTCAAACTCGATGAAACGAAAAAATAAGTCCATAGAGACACAAACACATAAATGTATAGGATTCAGCCGGCGAGAGAATGAGATAGAACACATTAGACGTTCTCGATCTCCTCTTTGTGCGACTCTTCGTAGCATCCCCACTATCGTCTACTGAACATTGTCCATATGTATGCTCCTGTGTAGTGGGATAGTCAGCCGTTCTATCTCATTTTCTCGCCGGCTGAATTCTGTACATTTATGTGTTTGTGTCTTTATGGACTTATTTATTCGTTTCATCGAGTTTGAAATCAGAACGATTCTAAAAAAGTTTAACTTCAAGAAGTTATAGTTGACATTGAAGTGGTGCGCACCTGCGGCTGCGGCAGCGGCACGGTGAGCGTGATGGCGCGGTGGAACTTCCGGCGGCGCGGCTCCACGGTGACGACGGCGGACACGGCGCCGCGCCGCGGCAGCACGCGCGCCCGCTGCGCCGCGTCCGCGCCCTGCGCCTGCACGCCCACGCGGATGCGCTTCGTCAGCGCCGCGGGCGGGAACAGCGCCTGCACCTGCACGACACGCACAAACATTCATGTTTTTTTTTTATAGCTTAGATGGGTGGACGCGCTCACAGCCTCCCTGATGTTAAGTGGTTACTGGAGCCCATAGACATTAGAAGGGTTGACGAGCTCACAGCCTCCCTGATGTTAAGTGGTTACTGGAGCCCATAGACATTAGATGGGTAGACGAGCTCACAGCCTCCCTGATGTTAAGTGGTTACTGAAGCCCATAGACATCTACAACTTAAATGCACTACCCTTAAGCTAATCATCTAGTCAACAAAATTAAAAAATTATAAGAGGCATGAAAATAACTTTTTTATTTTCTCAAGTTAAAAAAGAGTCTAAATATTATGATTTCCTTGATTATTGCACTAAAACTGTTCAATTTTTGGGTTTAAATTTTGAAATCTCCCGCCAACTTAGCCGGTACCCACGCTCTCTACTAAGCGCGACACTGGCGCTACACGTTGCCACAGTTTATGCGGCATTTCAATAAAATTGTCGTAGAACCTTGAACAGTTAACGATAGGTCCGTACTTCATTAAAACTTTAAAAATCAATAAAACTGAGCTTCTTTTTTTTATTGCTTCGATGGGTGGATGAGCTCACAGCCCACCTGGTGTTAAGTAGTTACTGAAGCACCTAGACATCTACAACGTAAAATGCGCCACCCTCCTTAAGATATAAATAAGTTCTGAGGTCTCAGTATAGTTACAACGGCTGCCCCGCCCTTCAAAGCGAAACGCATTACTGCTTCACGGCAGAAATAGGCAGGGTGGGGGTACCTGCCCGCGTGGACTCACAACTTGTACCACCAGTAATTACGCAAATTGAAATTTTTCCGGTTTGATTTTTATTACACGATGTTATTCCTTCACCGTGGAAGTCAATCGTGAACATTTGTTGAGTACGTATATCATTAGAAAAATTGGTACCCGCCTGAGATTCGAACATGCGTCGCTCAACACGAATGCACCGGACGTCTTATCCTTTAGGCCACAGGAAAGAGTGGCAGTGAGCGGTGACGTCAGCAGCAGTTACCTGCGGTATGTGCGAGCTAGAGACGGTGCCGCCCTCGGGCCCCACCACGTGCACCTCCTGGCGGACGCGCGACACGCACGCCAGGTAGTGCGGGAAGTCGCACGTGACGATGCGGGTGACGCGCTCCCCGCGCTCACCCAGCGCCTCGCCGTTGTTGCCGTACTCCTGGCGTTCGCGTTCCAGTGCCTCCTTCATGAGCAAGCAATAGAAACATAAGAAACTATCACGCGTCTATATCTATGGGTTGGAAGGCCGAGTTGGTTAGTTGTTCAATAAAAACCATATGCTGTTCGCTGATGCATCACGTATGCGAACGTAGCAACTGATTTCAGATTTCTTATGATATTCGTTACGATCCGATTAGTTTTTAGGGAAAGAGTTATTTTCTCTTATCTGTTCGCTGAGGAGAAATTGCCAGAAAGGGAGGTGACAATTTAGAGAAGTTGCTGGTAGCAGGCAAAGTATGCGGAAGAAGTCCAATGCGCTGGTCGCAGCAGATATGCTCCCCTCGCAACACTTCAGTCCACGTTGCTTGCTATCCACACAGCCGAGGATAGGCAGGCGTGGCGCACGATAATCCAAGAGAAAACTAATAGAGGAGGCCACGACCATTGAGGAGCATTCGAGGATTATCAACGCAATGAGGATCTAATCGCTGGTAGCCTAAGAGTCTATTCCAGCTACACGTGGACGAGAGAAAGAGAGAGAGAAGTGAGAGAAAGAGAGAGAGAGAAGAGAGAGAAAGAGAGAGAGAGAGAAGAGAGAGAGAGAGAGAAGAGAGAGAGAGAGAAGAGAGAGAGAAGAGAAGAGAGAGAGAAGTGAGAGAAAGAGAGAGAGAGAAAGAGAGAGAGAAGAGAGAGAAACATTAATTGAATAATCGAAGAAAAACTATAAATACAAACAAAACATCGTTCAGAGTTGATAAAGTCGTCAAGTAGGTATATCGTCGTTGCAAATTTAAAATCTCCTATGTGACATTTTGGGGCAAAAATGATGTTTTCATATATTATTATTATTATAAAAGTTATTTTGAATACCTATACTAAGCTATAAGCAAAGACTCCTGTGTGCTAAAAAAATTTGCATAATTTTTTTTTCATGAGGTACTTTTTTTTTAGAATTTCTCGAAATCTAAATTTATACACATAGGAGATTTCAAATTTTCAACGACGACATGTATATTCATTGGTAAAGGAAAGTGACACTTAACCTTGTGATTTTTAAGTATGAAATTCACCTGTATCATAGGATTGTCATTGTTGTGCAGGTAGTGGTCTTGCCACGTCTCTCCCGTGTCTGAACGCAGGATGACGATCTCGCGGTCGCGGCACGCGGACGTGAAGATGGGCACTTCGATTATAACCGGCCTGGAATTGTATTTATTACTATAACGACTAAATTCAACTCAGCTAATCAGTATGTTAGGACTACAGATAACATAAAAATAATTGTTGAGAAAGTAGTAATCTTAATCTATACTAATATATAAATCTACAGTGGTTTTTACGGATGTTCCGTTATAACTACAGAACCATGCATCCGATTGACTTGAAACTTGGTGTCCATGTAGAAAATACATGTATTTAATGGATAGGCTAATATTTTTGAGTGTTGGACTCCCTACATCAGTTGCGGGGGCGTTAATGATGAGAATCTTTGTGGGGGTGAGAAATAATAATGTTAATTTTAAATGCCCAACGAAGCGGATGGGTACAGCTAGTTACATTATAAAAATAGTTCGATCTAATTGAAATCAAATTACTATACCAATTTTTAACGTCAAGCTAAACACCAATCAAAACAGATGACCTCACTTGTGACTAATCGTATATTTCGATTCAAATGACTTAACACATACTGAAGTTGAGTATATCCGAAGGTCACAAAGTATAATTTTCATTTATCGATTCACTTTTTTTTCCTCACCTAAGCTGATAGCCTTGAGAAGCTATTTCAGCGTAACTTTAGCTAGTAGGTGAGCTCACGGGGCTCAAACCGGAGTGATGCTAACACTGGCCCTAGCAAGAGCAGTGCTTCGCAGAATCTACCACCGGATCGGAAACGCGACCCACTAAGAAGATCCGGCGAGAAACTCAGTGGGCTGTGTCTATGGGTTAACTAGCTCGTTGAGCCCTTCGTCGCAAGCGACGGGTTCGACTAGGACCGTGACCGGTGCTTGCGGTACCTAAAAGTACCGTTAATGGATCGGGAGGATCCGTAATGACGTGTTTTGGGCGAAGTCGATTGTTTACCATTCGGTCTACAGGATCGGGTATGTAGTTTCCAGCGGCCACGAGAGGGTTCTCATGTCGTGCCGCCTTCTCGAAGTGGCGCAACGATGCCGACTGTAGATAATTACTGACAGAGTCGAGCTCCAGGTCATCGTAGAGATCCACGTTCCTCTGGAACCATGGCGCTCCGACGGCTATCCTGCAGAATCGTGATTGTCGATTCACTAACAAAGCATTTGTTGATACTCACGCTAAGAACTTGGCTCCAGCTGGTTGTAACTCCAGTAATCTGGAGGCCAGAGCTTCGCCCTCCATCAGAGGGGGCGGGGCGGCGGCCGGGGCGCGTCTGGTGGCAGCTCTGATCAGAAACACTTCAATTAAAACATCTGTGTTTGTATATAGATAGTGTCCCTTTTTTTTAGAAACAGAATTGCGGTAGCGATATTTTAAAAATTAGCTTGCGTCTACCGATCCAGAACATTTCTTTAGATGGTTTCTCTAGAAAACATTGAAAATAAATATTGAACTTGCCTATTTTCTCGCAGCGTCCTTTTTGAAAGCAATAGAATGATTAAAAATACTTTAATGTCTTTTTACAATTTTATTTTTTATTTTATTAAATACACCTCTACATTTGTACGATATCCAAAATTGATTAACAAAGGATCCATCACCACAAATTCACCATCAAACATTTTTTTAATGTTGTCTTTAGTACTGGATTATGGTATTAATTACCTGCACGTGACTCTGGTTGGTGCCGCACAAGCCGCCGGTGGTACGATGATCCGGACTCCGCCGCGGCGCTTTGCTTTCATGGCCCCGCCGCGGGCGTCAACAACGAAGGACACCAAAAACCTACAAATAATAAATATCAAGGCATGGTTTTCTTTTAAAATGAAGTATAATATAAATAAACAAGCTGACCCGGCAGACTTCGTAGTGCCTCAATCGATAATCAAAAGACCTAAACTTTTGTACAAAATGAACTTAAAACAAACTAAAGGAATCCGTCCGACGGGGGACAAATCGAAGGAAAAGCAAAATTGCTATTTTTATTTAATTCCGAGCATTTTCATATTTATCTACCTTTTAAACCTTCTCTGGACGTCCACAAATAATTCAAGACCAAAATTAGCCAAATCGGTCCAGCCGTACTCGAATTTTAGCGAGACTAACGAACAGCAATTCATTTTTATATTTATAGATAACTAGCGACCCGCCCTCGCTTCGCTTCGGAAACATTAAAACACACATGAAACAAAAAAAAAAAATTAAAAAAAGTAGCCCATGTTCATCAGGGACAATGTCGGCTTCTAATGGAAAAAGAATTTTTCAAATCGGTCCAGTACTTTCGGATCCTATTCGAAACAAACAAACAAACAAATCTTTCCTCTTTATAATATTATATAGTATATACTATTTTACTTCACATTCTCTGAGTAATAAATATTTATAAAAAATTAAGTATCGGAAACAGTAATATAGTTCCATCGACGTATCCCACTGAGGTTCTCGATTAATCTTCAGTGGCTCGAGATTCGATGGTAGATTCAGCGAACCACTATACTTGCTAGGGCAGATGCTAACACTCTTTCAGGTTGGGCCCCCGGACTCGCCAACCGGTCAAGATGAATGATGAAGATAAAGTTAAATGAATGATGAGCCAGATCTGATAATACTTTCCTTTCATTTTAAAATCGATCCATTAATGTAAATAAATACTTCACGTAGTAACCAACTAATTATTCTACATAAATCATCGAATATCGATACAGTTAACACGCAAACGTACAACAATCAAAGGAAAGTGATATATATGGGTAATTAGAAGACGATCGAATCGATTGTCGGCCATGTTAACAACATAGCTGCAAGTGCAAGTACTTTGTGAAGTGAAAGAGAATTTTCCATTGTCGTTCTTCGTTGGAAATGTTTGTAAAAACCTAAGCGCATAGGAAAACTGTGAATGTGTCATTGTAAGTGAAGATGACGTGCTAATTATTTGTTCATGGATTGCACGGAAGGACCGCGGTTTGTACGGTGAACCAAACTGGAATTTAGGCTATGATAATGACCAAAATTAATTTATATTTGTGTATTTATTATAAAACTAGCTGACCCGGCAAACATTGTTTTGCCATATATAAGATTTCTAGGGAACTTCTAGTGTAGAAAAAAAAACTAACTTATTGTAAGTGCGTAAGGATGTGGTAAATGAGTGAAAGAGGTATGTAATGCTGTAAACGATGAGGGAATATATAATAAAAATAACAAAACCTCATTCAACCACATAATACCTCATTATAACAAAAAAAATGTCCAAATAAAAAAAAAAATTGTTAGGGGTGGACAACCCTAATCATTTAGGAGTATGAAAAATAGATAGTAGCCGATTCTCAGGCTTACTGAATATGCGTAAAAAATTTCATGAGAATCGGTCAAGCGGTATCGGAGGAGTATGGGAACGAACATTGTAACACGAGAATTTTATATATTAGATACAATCATCTATATTTTTCATTTTAAATTATGTTGTTTAAATGGTCATTTTAATACTACATATATCAATCAATGATTTTTTATACAACAGATATGTTATCTTCATAGTAACTGACTCTTCAAATCTGATCGCGCCATATATATCTACATACCTACCGATATAGTGCACACACATGTTGACAAGTAGCATTAATGAAAAGTACAAAAGATGGGATAAGCGCGTGAGTAAAAAAGATAGATATAATTGGAACGATTGCACTTGTTATATTATTATTGCATTTGTTTAGACGCGATTAAAGACCAAACGTCCCAATTGGCCTGTTTTCGAGTCTTCACTTGACGTGCGCTTGAAACATATCTGGTTCTTTTTACAAATAAAATATCATTGATATCAATCATATAATGTACACAAATGTTTTTCTGAAATAAATTATTTTAATGTTAATTTCATTACTGGATAAGTTTACGTAGTATTGTTTAAGGTCACCTTAATACGTTCAGCGATTTTCGGTGATTGTTATTTACATTAATCTGTAATTTATAGTTTTATTGCGAGATGGAAAGACGAAAATGTATTTATTTGCTAAATTATTTCTGAAATGTACAGAGTCGAGTGTAAAATTATACTCCTGTTTGCGAAAAAAAAATCACGTTTTTGTTATATTTTGTGTTATACATATTTAATTTGAGGCGGAAATAAAAAGGAATGGCAACTAAATTGTAAAAAAAAGTATTTTACTATTTCTGCTGCGAGAAATTGTCGTGTTTCAGTTTGAAAGATAACTTGACCTTCTATTTTAAAGTGTGATTTCTTTTTTCCTACCTAATCTGATAGCCTTGAGAAGCTATTTCAGCGTAACCTTAACTAGTACGTGAGCTCACGGGGCTCAAACCGGAGTGATGCTAACGTTGACCCTAGCAAGAGCAGTGCTTCGCAGAATCTACCACCGGATGGGGAATGCGACCCACTGAGAAGATCCGGTGAGTGATCCGATGTGATTTCTACGGCAATCATTTAACACCAGTTGCGCCATGACCTAATAATTCACACAGTTAGAGCGATAAAAAAAAACTCTGCTCACCCAATATCGACTGGTTGTCGTTCCATCGTGGCGACTTTTTTGTCATTATTGCTCGGCCACAGGTGTCCGTCGGTGACCGTGTCCTCGAGCGGTTTCGCCCGGTGCAGCGTGCCGACTTCGCTGTTCATGTAGCGATACTGCTGTTGCTGTTGAATAGGACACTCGACTTCGCCTGAAAGACGACGCAAAACATACTTTAAACGCTTCTAGATAAGACGGAGAATCGAAACAATATCTTTATATTTAAACTAGCTTTTGCCCGCGACTCCGTCCGCGTGGAATAGTTACTTTAGCATAACGCTAAATGTTACCCCCCACTTACACTTTACCCCACACACATTCTTTATTGGTGCTCTACTTGTATTGGTCTTACCGTAATGTATTTTTTTTTTTTTTCAATCACGCCACGTTAACTGGTGCCGTGCTAAGTTCGTAAAGAACTTGTGTTACAGGTACCAGATAACGGAAATAAATATAATATTTTTATTATACACATACATATATTTAATATACACCCATAACCCTGGAAAGACCCTTATATTTATCATACAAATATCTTCCCTTGGCGGGATTCGAACCCGCGACCCCCTTGTGTAGTGACCATGTCACTTACCACTACACCAGACGGCCGTTTAACGGATGTTATATTATAGCCTATAGCCTTCCTCATGTCCTATGTCTTAGGAATTTTTGTGTTTGTTATTCATTAGTATTTTATTTTGAGTTTATAGCTTATTTCATAGTTTTATGTCACAACAAGAAAACGTTGTGCTTTAGATTCATCCACATTAATGAAATACCAGAATTGAATAAAAATATAATATTCCTATTTAACTAAATTGTCGTCCACGCAATATATTTAATGACCAGTGATAAAATCGTATTGTTGGCATGAAATAATTTGTTTTGTTTTCACAAAATCTCTCAATACGTTTGTTACATTGTTTTCAATAATTCGCGTTTGTATTTCGCGAAATTTGCGCCATTGTTGTTATTCGAAATGATTATAGCGATTTTTAAAGCGTATTATACTTTTTGTTCATCATCAAATCAACTTACACACAACGATGCCTCCAATGAACACTATTCTAAGTCAAAATTTTGAAATTTTCATTTTTCACGCAAATCGCTTCACTATGTTAAAAGTATTACAATTAATCATTATTAATGGGGTTCAAAGCAAGGGTAAATCAGCTAGTTACACAAAAAAACCATAAATATATCTGCGATAATAAAGATTTTATCAACTTTTTTCGTTTAAACGCTCCTCCTGTAAATCTACGAATTTGGAGTTAGCGTAGTGTTCATTGGAGGCATCGACAAAAACGCGTTAAAAATGTTAACATATCATTCTAAGTGTGAATTGTTTTCCACCACCATCATCACCATCCTGGCCATTGCCGCGAAGCATGTTACAGTAGGCAGCAGCTTGGCATTGTCTCTGGCAATGTCTATCAGGACGGTCACCACTTAGCTCAGATGAGCCGTGTGATCGTCTGTCTATAAAAGCACTAAAAAAATGAGTTCCGGTTTGAACATGGGACGTGGGATGGGACTGACTTTTTTATTTACAATTGAGATTCAAAGCTCATCTCTGAAGATGAGCGGCACCATTCGCACTGTGATGCCCATGGCCTCCGATAACGGATTAAAATCATGTAGACCGTGATCTAAAATGGATGGACTTGAGTTATCGTAACAATTTTTTTTCTATGTACAGATGCACTAACGTTCTTTTTCTTTCTTTTTTATAGCTTAAATGGGTGGACGAGCTCACGGCCAACCTGGTGTTAAGTGGTTACTGAAGCCCATAGACAACTACAACGTAAACGCGCCACCCACCTTGAGATATAAGTTCTAAGGTCTCAGTATAGTCACAACGGCTGCCCCACCCTTTAAACTGAAACGCATTACTGCTTCCCCGCAGAAATAGACAGGGTGGTGGTACCTACCCGTGCGGACTCACAAGAGGTCCTACCACCAGTAATGTAACTTATATATTAAAACAATAGTACTTTTTTTGCTATTCACACCACGTTACGTAGGTGTGTACAAATTGTTGTATGACCTCATCTAATCTAGTGCATGAATGTTTAAGGTCATTAATAGACGTGACGTACCTCCTTCGTCTTCCGAGTCGCTCATGAACGTGTCCTGCATGAGCTCAGGTGCTGCCACGCGGTATTTACCCTCAAGGCCACCTGGAACAAGCAACGATCATATATAATTGCGATTACTCCAACAGCCAGGTCTATTTGTTTCAGCGAGAAGCATCCGATCTTTATAATATGACTATTCGGATATATATATATATATGACAAGCGGACTCGAACATGCAGCGGTACGATCCGTGCCCAAACGTTTTTGCGTATAAGTGAATTTGACATTCATTTACGAACAATTAAATTCCGACTAGAAAATCGAACATATTATATAAATATATTTGATAATAATAATGAATGAATCAATTCATTCAAGATTTCGTGGACAGTCTATGGTAATTGTTTAACACCAAGTGTACTGGACTACCTATTTACGTCCCTAAATGAAACTTATAGATAAAAGCTTAACTGATAATAGGGAAATTCGTAACATTTATAAAAAACAAGGTATATTTAGGGACAGTAATAATTGATCTATGGGCTTATATGGCAAATGATCTGCCATCGGTATAATACCCCCATACCTTATACTCGTGTGTCTGCGATGGTGTCATTTGAATTTTGAAATAGATATTAGCTTTGAAGATCACATCTATATATTAATACGTGAAGCAAAAACTTTGTACCCTTTTTTACGAAAATTGCGCGGACGGAGGAGTATGAAATTTCTTACACTTACAGAGAATATAGAGAAGGAGTGCACAATGCTAATATTTTTTTAAAATAATGCCTAAAAGGTACTTTAAATCAATAAAGAAAACATTACACACACTACCATGTATTTGACACAACACATATATAAAAATATACTCTTTGTATACTGTCAATCGAATTGAAAATAGATTAATATTGTTTTTCTTTAATATTATTGATCTATAGTGATGTTTTGGCTAATACTGTGATTATATTATGGAATTATAATAGTGTTTGACAATAGAACCATAATAATGTTTAAACTTATAATTTCATTTAATTATAGTCTAATTTCGACTACTGCGGGCCACTAGTAAATCTAAAAACTGATGAAACTTGATGAACTTGATGTTGTGTCTTTAAAACAGTTAGTTGCCCTCAATTAAGAAAAATAGTATTATTATTCGCCAATAGATGTCGGGAAGAGTTGATTATTGAAAACATGAATAAACCAACATTTTCTGAAAATAAATCGTAGCTAGATCGATTTATCGCCCCCGAAATCCCCTGTATACTAAATTTTATGAAAATCGTTGGAGCCGTTTCCGAGATTCAGATTATATTGTATACATGAATTGCTCGTTTAAAGGTATAAGATACTTTTAAGCCTTACAACAGATTCACGTTCGAGGCGGTTATCGATTGCGCCGGCACGTGGACAAGGGACAAAGAACTCCGTGAAGAAAGTGCGACCACATTCCCCAGGAAGTCCCACTATTGAAATATGGTTGCCTCGCTCGGACCGTCGTGCATACAAAATCGTTTTAAACACACTCCCAATTCCACGTACGAAAGGGACGCAGATACATTTACTTTTGAAATTAGAGTATGGTTGTCTCATTTTTTTTTCGCTTGACATGCGTTGCAGCGATTTGCATTATACAAAAGCACAGTTATGGTTGACGACACTGGTCAAATTATATCCTAATGCTCGTGTTTTGTTTTCACAGGTTCGTGAACTCGTGCGCTCAGTGACAGTCAAACTGGTTGACTTCATCATTATAGTTTATAAAATACTAGCTGTACCCGTCCGCTTCGCTGGGCATTCAAAATTAACATTATTATTTCTCACCCCCCCAAAGATTCTCATCATTAACGCCCCCGTAACTTACACCAGTTGTAATTATTATAGGGAGCCCAACACTCGTATAAATATTAGCCTATCCATTAAGTACATGTATTTTCTACATGAATAGCAAATTTCAAATCAATCGGATGCATGGTTCAATAGTTATAACGGAACATCCATAAAAACCACTGTAGATTTATATATTAGTATAGATAACTAATAATAATTAATGAAGCTGTCACTTTATTTTGCAAGGTTTCAACTCAAAACCAGTTTCGATCGCTTACAATAACGAAATCCGCAAACAGATTGTTTACAGACGCTGTTAACGTAACCACTTGGTACAAGACAAGGTTTCTGTTCGTAGCTTAGGTGTATGAAAAAAAAAGTTTCATGTTTACATCTCTAGAAGACAGGCACTCAAACACGACAGAAGTCGTGTTTTTTTTAAATGTTTTTTACATTTCAGGTAATGTACCACAAAATATCATTCGCGAAGCAGCTGCCCTTGGGTTGTTAGGTCTCCCCAGGGGACGCTCGGGCAGCTGTTAGCAAATCTCATCCGCCCTGGCTGAGCCCGTGCCCTCGTCCGTCTATCCTGGTGAAACAGGAAAGGCCTGAGGAATTGTTGTCTGAGGAATTGTTCGAGATGATACCGGCATCTCGTTTTTACCATCGCACCGCCCGCCACCGGAGTAGAGTTCATCTATACTACCTGGAGCGACTGCGGTCAACCACAGTGCGTTTCCAGAGGTCTTTCTTGCCACGTACCATCCGGCTATGGATTGAGCTCCCCTCCACGGTGTTTCCCGAGCGCTATGACATGTCCTTCTTCAAACGAGGCTTGCGGAGAGTATTAAACGGTAGGCAGTGGCTTGGCTCTGCCCCTGGCATTGCTGAAGTCCATGGGCGACGGTAACCACTCACCATCAGGTGGGCCGTATGCTCGTCTGCCTACAAGGGCTATAAAAAAAAGCCTTCGGGCCACCAGCAATCTTTCCACTCAAAAAAAAACACTCAATAAAGGCGCATGCTCCACAGTCTAGTGTGTTTCAGGGAGCGTCTGGCAGCTATCTTCGTCTTACATTACGTTTCTTTCCCGGTCACCGTCCTCGCCGAACCCGTCGCTTGCGGGTTCGACGAGTGAATTAACCCATAGACACAGCCCACTGAGTTTCTCGCCTGATCTTCTCAGTGGGTCGCGTTTCCGATCCGGTGGTAGATTCTGCGAAGCACTGCTCTTGCTAGGACCAGTGTTAGTAGCACTCCGGTTTGAGCTCCGTGAGCTCACCTACACTTCAAGCAGAAGCTGAAATAGCCACTCAAGGCTATCAGCATAGGTAGGAAGAAAAAAAACGTTACTATAATAATAACTTGCTAAAACTGTAGGTATTAATTTCTTACATCAAATGAATATCATATTATTATTATTTTTTCCGTTTTTATTGATTGTTACCGTTTCGATGTAAGGAAACGATCTTAACGAATTAAAGTAAGATCGTAATAGAAAATTCTTTATATGTTAAAAAATCACAGCACAAAACTCGTAGTTCCTAAGCGAATGAATACGACACAAAGTAAGCGATGCGAAAAGAAAAACGGAATATTAATCAATTTTTAAAATAAACGTACCGCGTTGTGTTTTTATATGAGATGAAGAATTGATACCTACTGTAAATGCTGACCTATTTATCAGGTATAATGTAAAAGAATCTAAATATACGTAAACGACATCCCGTGAGCTGTTATGACATCAAGCATGGGGGTTACATAAGAGACAATTTTATCGTACGCGACTTGTCACTGACGTCATCGAGGTGAGGTTGCCAGATTAAAATTTCAATTAATAGTTTAAAAATATATTCGGTACAATGAGACTGATCTCGTTTTCGAATCTTTGATAGTAAATATCAGTATTTTATTCAACAAGTACAGATAGGCATCTCTATAAAATTGTATACGGACGACACGTTCATTTTAATAAAGTTACTTCAGTTTCAGTTTTAGTATGGTATCTGCGTGGGAATACTATTTGACAGCTTCATGTTGACAAAAATGTAACGTGAATTAACCCAGTCACCGTCCTCGACGAACCCGTCGCTTGCGACGAAAGGCTCGACGAGTAAATTAACCCATAGACACAGCCCACTGAGTTTCTCGCCGGATCTTCTCAGTGGGTCGCGTTTCCGATCCGGTGGTAGATTCTGCGAAGCACTGCTCTTGCTAGGGCCAGTGTTAGCAACACTCCCGGTTTGAGTCTCATGAGCTCACCTACACGTCAAGGAGAAGCTGAAATAGCCTCTCAAGGCTATCAGCATAGATAGAAAAAAAAGGGAATTATGTTTCGAACATTTAATTTTGATGAGCGATTATAGTTCGGCCATCTAAAGAACCATGAAAGTTGATGCTGCCGCCCACAACAATCGTTTCAGTACCAGTTGCATTACACGACTGACTTTGAGTCTTCAAACTCGAACGCATTCTTGCATTTCTGCAGAATTAGTACCTCATGAAATCGCCCCTTACCTGTGTCATTGGTTTGAAAGATAAATTAGTTGCAACCGCTTCTTATCTATGTTATCGGTATGAAAGAAACTGAAATTGCACTTATACAATAATTCGACTAAAGAAGCTGCCATTGGCTGTCGAATAATTACATAATAATGTAGATGATAAAAATTAATACTTTTCTGTCGTTCGCGTCGGATGAGTGGGCGTGCACGTGCATCATGTAATTGGCCGTCGGCCCGATGTCACCTGACCTTTGACACTAATTGTCGTCGCTTATGAAACGCGTTTCGTAATCAATAATCGTAATGAAGCTATCGTTGCTCACTGATACGGACACAGGAAATGCGGTGAAATGTCAAGAAAATCACGATGGAATATCTATACTAATATACAAATCTAAAGTGGTTTTAACGGATGTTCCGTTATAGCTACTGAACCATGCATCCGATTGACTCGAAACTTGGTATCCATGTAGAAAATACATGTACTAAATGGATAGGCTAATATTTATAGGAGTGTTGGACTCCCTAATAATAATTTTAAATGCCCAGCGAAGCGGACGAGTACAAGGCAAATTTTTTTTATAAATTCGCTTCTGGGAACGGAGTTCCTTATGGCACGTCTTGTTTGCGGGTCTAGATCGAAAAAGGTGCAACAACGATAAAACGACACCTAAAACTGACATCTGTTTTTGGGGTGATATTTGAGGCACTTCCCGATCACTTATCTGAGTAATGTAGAGTTGTCAAGCTCATACGACTTGCAG